AATCTGATCCAAATCATCAGCAATATTATTTAATATATTGAATTTTAAAAATAAAAATAAATGAACCATTTTTTTTCTTAATGATAAGTAATGATATCACCGACTTCAAAATCTGAGCCATTTTTAAGTTTTTAGACAAAAAGGCAAACAAATATAAGACCATTTTAAAACAGACAGATGTAATATGATGAGATATATGTGATGTAAGTTGTTGTGTAAATGCATGTACTTTTCTAGAAGTAAATGTGGATAATTTAACAGCAGATTTGCTTAATATGTTAATACTATAATAATTACTACATATAATAAAATAAGTAAGATCAAAGTAAACCAGAATAAAATTAAATGCGACAAACAACAAGAAATCTAGTCAAATTATCTGTTTCGGCTTAGGAAGATCACTCTCGTCGTTAATTCTGTATAGAGGCATATTTTCAGCTTTACGAAGATATATAACTCCTCTGGAGGTCCAGCAAAAAGCATAGCCATTATTTCGAGCATATTCTCGAGAGAGATAAAAAAGTCTTCGAGTTTTTTGGGTCAGAGTTTCAGATACAAATATTGTTTTTTTAGGTACTTTCAAATTTAAATGAGATGTATTTAACTTATCATTAGGAGCTTTATTCTTATTGAACTTTTTAATCGCTTCTAATATTTTGTCTCTTTTAATCACTGACGAGAATTCAGTAATGATTGTTTTGTTGAATTCTTTATTTGTATTAATTCTGTATACATCTTTTATTTCAGCATCATGAACTTCAATATTTAGAGACTTCCCCATACATTTAACTATGTTACTCAAGTCTTCCTTCGACTCTGATTTTCCGGTTTCAGAACCACTCAAAGGTACATTTCTAATTTCAAGTCCTGAGACTCGATTTTTACGTTCCATTTGCTCTATTTTGTCCTCTAGAGAGTGAATACGTTTCTTATCCTCCGCTCTCTCCTCTTTAAGAGTTTGTATTTTGGTCAGTGTCTCCTCATATTTTGCGGATAAGAATTCTAAGCACTTTGAAATATCAGTGTTCTGTCTTTCAATATTAGCAACCGTCTGCTGTAGTTCATTGAAACGAGTAGTCTGTTCAAGCGAGAATTTATTAAACATGCTCTTCAATTCTTCCACATAAGGGTTCATGTCACCAGAATCATTTCGTCGTCTTTTACTACGCAGTATTTTAGTACTTTTATCTATTTGTTCTTGTGGAATATTCAAGTCTGGCGCTGAATCATAATGCTGCAGTAGTGATTCCCTAGATGACAGGGAAGCAGTCGACGCCGTTACTACTGATTGGGATGTTGATATTTTGGGTGGAGTTCGTTTCAGGGGCATTATCAGTCAATACAATTAAAATCAGAAGAAATAATAGATACAAAAAATTTTGTTATTTTGTATATAAATATCAATTGCCCACCGACGAAATCAAAGATCAGACTACAATGGTCAGTGCTCAGTTGAATGTACAGATATCCACTTTAATGAGAACTTTAAGTGACTCACAAAAAATATCTAGTGATGCACAGGTGTCTTGATAAATGGACATCGATCGCCAAAATAGAACAATATCGCTTTCCGTCCAGTTACGGCTGACCCCCGATAATACAGAACGCACTATCTCCTTCTACCCTATATAATTACATCAATTTGTCGTTTCTTCTAGCTCTAGCTGACAAAATTGCGTGGATTATCGTAATAAAAATTATAAAAGGGTTCAATATCAAACTCACGCAGCAAGTTGTGCTTAATTTCGATGCTCGTGATATACTTGCGCTGTCTTCATACACTCCTAGTATTACTAGAATTATTATAGTGTATTTCTATTTGTTTAGAGTACTATTAAAATAAACTATTGAAACAGAATTTGTACACACGTCCATACACTACGGAGATCCGAGGGGAAGAGGAGGGGAATTATAAAAGAAGTATTATATACAGTAAATTGTATTATGTATTTTTAATAACATTATAATTATTCCCAAATCTTTTAACTGTTCTGTACATGATCATGAACATCTGTCGTTGGCAGCTGTAGGTAACTGTAACAAGTGTAACATCAATCTGTTACGTCGTCTAATATTATAAACACAATTCATGAACTCAATGTCATACTCATTACCAACTCTGGCGCCAACCAGACAGTAATGTGATAGACGGGGAAGTCACATATTACTTGCAATGGGGACACCAGTCCCCGTTACACACACTCAATCACTCACTCATCCGTATGGTTCTTCAAAAAAGAGGTAATGAGGTTTCTTTAGGTCCGGCAATGCGCGCGTAATGTCCATGGTATTGCAGGTGTTCATAGGCTACGGTAACCGCTTACCATCATGTGGGCCGTATGCTTGTATGCCTAACTAGGCGTAGAAAATTTCAAATAACTTCATTTATCTTTAAAAAATACAACATGTAAAAACATTAGCAAAGCTTAATTAAATACTTATTTATTTTTGATATATAATATTTATTATTACCGGCGAGCGTGTATGAAAGATTGATGAATGTAGAAGAAGCGAAAGAGGTTTGTTTGAATCGCAGCATTTGGCGTTCCATTGTTTCTGCCTATCCTAATGGGAGACAGGAGATATGTATGTATGTTATTATTACCACTCCACCCGCACCTCCTCATCATGGTTAATTCCTGATGAATTCATCATGATGAGCTACCTGGCCTGTTTTCATTCTCATCTATCACCCTTCACTGGTGCTCCGCCAGCGTATCCCGTTAGCGCAGGCGGGGTTACCGTACCATTTTCACCCATCAAAAAAAACCCTAAGACATTCTGGAGTGATAATTTTTAGGCAATTAATTTTCTTAGATATGATTATAATAGATGTGTATTTGTTCTCCATAAAATGATACCCGTGGGCGCTGCCTACCATCCGCCATTCATTACTCGTAAGTACCTTCGTGCGTGCGCACGCGCAATCAATTTATCTATTGTGAATGTGCGTCGTTTGTTGTGCGCGGATCCGGATCCACGCGGCGATGGATTTGGTCGCTGGCTGTTTGAAATTTGCGTGTAAACCTCATTAGAGGCATGTGGAACTGGCGTTATTGTTTTTTTTTTTTTAATGATGATATAATGGATAGATAGATGGAGACTTTGTACGAAAATCGATTGCTTGGGCACCTCTGTCCCATTCGTGTTTCAACCGTGAAGCAGTTGTGTTTGCATGGCTGTGTTTCGGTTTGAAGCGTGGGATATGGCGTGAATTTACTGGGTACAGAGGAATAACACCTGAGTCCTCAGGAATGGCAACGCATGGGGGGTATCATGGGCGAAACAGTATACTTTGTTATGTCCACGGTACTGCTCATGTCTATAGGCGACGGTTACCACTTTCTATCGGGTCTGCCGTCAGCTTGTTTGCCATTCTAAGTTGTATAAAGAAAAAAAAAGATGGATACTCTTTATTGTTTGAATATAATTAAAAAGAAAAAATTGAATTATGTTGACTGTAATTTATAATTTTTGTAATGTTATTATGTACTATATATCCTATACAGTGTATTTTGTGCTTTGGATAAATAAATAAATAAATAGTGAACTTATTGTAGATATAAACAATTACAAGTTTTTTTAATGTATTTTTTTTTTAATGGGTATTAATGGAATGGTAACCGGAGCCAGACATCGTTATAGGAATACGCTGGCGGGTCAACAGTGCTATATGATAGATGCGGATGAAAGCAGGTCAATTGATCCATCCGGATTAATTCAGTAAAAATTAACCACGATGGTTTCCAAGGGGAACCGCGTGGAGGTCGACCTGATGGAGTTTATTGCTAGCAGTGGCGCTATTAGACCCCATTACTTACAATCCCTTTTCCACTAAGCAAATGAGTTAACACCAGTGAAGAATGATAAGGATGAAGCAGGTCAGTTGGCCTATCGCCTGAATTGTTCACGATCAGTATATGCTGGCGTCAAACTCCATTGCTAACAATCCCTTTCCCCCTAAGGGCAACCCAATGATAATGAAGGGTGATAGTTGTGGAAAAAGTCTGGTCAATTAGCTCATCTGACATCCGCGTTGTTGCATTTTAGTATTTAATAATCCATTGTTTGTTTCCTTATCTACCTGCCCCAAGTGCAGGTGGGCGTGACGTCAAACGTTTTCGTATGTCTGATACATAATTGTCTTAATAATAATAAATACTGCGAAATTAAGTACAAGGATGTTAAATATTGTAATCAATAGATAAAGAAACATGTTATTACATGATTAATATTATTGGAGTCCTTAATATATACATATATAATATGAGCAATATATATATATATATATATATATATATATATATATATATATATATATATATATATATATATATATATATATATATATATATATATATATATATATCTTTATTGTACTAAAACATACAGTAACAACAATAAGTTAATAACAATGTTAGCAAAGGTGAACTTATCTCTAAAAGAGATTTCTTCCAATCAACCTAACACAAGTGGCATAGGAAGTAGTGAGTGGGGCAGTAGTAGTGCTAAACAGAAATTAAAATAAATATTTACATAAATTATAAATCCTTATATATATATATTGAAAAATACAATATTAATATGACTATGACGATGAGGATAAACCTACATAAATAAGAATATATATACATATGTATTCACTTGTATAACGGATTGTGTTCTAAGGAATTATTTAATACGATGCCACCTTTTGTCATCGTCACTCGTCATCGACAAAGAATTCAGACTCACACACTAGATTCTAAATGGATTCTACACATAATGCACTTTCACAGAAGTTTGCTCCCCGCTAACGTTCAAATTATGAAATTAATTTCCTATCGAGGTTTTCTCTAGATACTGCAGCGTGGAGTTCTACAAAAAAAGGCTTAATAAAATTTCTTCTGGGTAGGCAACGCGCGAGTCACTGTGACGGTTTACCATCAGACGGGATGCATACTTGCTTGCCACCAAATTATCTATTATAGGTATTTACCATACATTGTTTTATATTTCAGGCGGTGATAGAACACGGTTCAAACTGGCTGTCAACGGAGTTGGCGACCGCATACCTGTCCAAATGCGAGTCCAACACTGGTTCTCGGGACCCACTCATACAGCTGGGACTCAGACTTGGTAAGTCCGTATATATATATAAACTCTCTTCCATATTAATTATATTTTAATAAGGATTTGCTTTAATTTTCCATAATTATATGGTGGACTTTTTAAATACAGGGCAATGGAGAAACCCGTCTTGTATTTTATTTGTTATTACACTGCTAGTTAGTTTTTTTTTTCCTAGTGAATATTCATGTTGCCATGCCTCAATATTCTAATAATTATAATATATTCAGAGAGCTATAAAATCGGATCCGTGAAACAGGTTCTTTTTCGCTAATTAACACAATTAAGTAAAAATAAATATTTTGTTATGTCTTATTTATTTTTAATTTAAAAAAAAAAGTTAGTTTCGTCAATAAATTAATTTCCGACTACTCGATCTTATGGGATTCGAACCCATATCTCTGCTATTCCTAATGTACAGAGTCGTTAGAAAGAAATATTTTATCAACCTATTTATATTATACCATATATTTGGGATTTCCAAATGCGGAGTTAAAACAAAATTAATTCAATGTCTCTTTAAATTAAGAACTAACTTAAGATTATTATTTTATTGTCAATACTTGTTATAAGTCGAGGAATAACTACATGCGACAGATAAAGGAAACACTAGGCGTCATGTCGTATAGGGAGATAAAGGATATGGCCTGGGATAGAGCTGGCTGGAGGAAGATGCATGAATTAGTTGCACCGACAAGAGGAAACTCTTAAATGAAAAAAAAAAACTAAATAATCCGCGACGTCGTCCGCTTGACTGAGATATGTTATATGCCAGACTATAGGTTCTCAAAATGGGCAACAACGTGCCCTTGTAGGCGTTGGAGACTTTCAAGGAAGCAGTAACAGATCCGGAGAAAATTAGGGGTTCAACAGAGGAAATCATTCATCATTGAGATAGCGCAGAGGGGGTGTAGTCAAATTAAAAAATATAGGCTAAAAAAGCCAGATGATAAGTAAAATTGAGATTGGGGTCTTTAGAAGAAAATATTTTGGGAAAGTCAGAATCATAATCATTTACAATGATGAATAAGATCGTTATTTATCATTGTAAATGATAATGGATGATCACTATAGACATAACATGAAATTTACGTGACACAATCCGAAATGAAGACATCTACGAAAGAACCAAAGTGACCGACATAACGTGAAGTATAAACAAGTTGAAGTGGCAATAGGCTGGTCACATAGCTCGAAGAATTGACAACCGATGGTTCTTGAGTGGCGACTCCATAACACACAAACATAGTGTAGGACGACCGCCCACTTGATGGAGTGATAACCTCGAATGCATTGCAGGAAGTCAGTAGATGCAGGTGGCTCAGGACCGTTCCTTATGGCAGATAATGGGGGAGGCCTATGCTCAGCAGTGGACGGTTAACGGCTGATATGATGATGATGATGATCATTATAGATGATAAATAGTGATCACTGTTGATGATCATTATAATAGCTAAATAGAGGTACTTTGAAATACAGCAATCTTTGGAATCAACTTCCACCAACAGTATTTCCGAACTGATACGACATCAGGACCGTCAAGAAAAGAGTATATTCCTTTTTAAAAGGTTAGCAACACACCTGCAATGCCGTTGGTGTTGTGGGTGACCATAGGCGGCGGTAGTCACTTACCATCAAGTGAGCTTCATGCTCGTTTGCCCCCTGTGTTGTAAAAAAAACTATTTTTTAAATATCCGTATTGATTTTCAGGCGGCTTCCTGAACGAAGCGGGTTGGTACGCGGACGCGCAGCGCGTGCTTCTACAGTGCCGCGACCTCTGCCAGGCGCAACCACAGACCACATATTACAAACGACTCACCCTCGAGTGTTGCCATAGGTACGATGTTGTTTTACCTTATTTTTTATTTGGTATCTAAACCCAAAGATAGAAGTAAGCATTGCTATGTCCATCTATTTTTTTTTTATACAATTTAGAATGGCAAACAAGCTAACGGTACACCTGATGGAAAGTGGTAACTGTCGCCTATATACATGAACAGTACCATGGACATAACAGAGTGTACTGTCTTGCCCATGATACCTCCCATGCGTTGTCATTCCTGAGGACTCAGGTGTTATTCCTCTGTATCCTGTAAATTCACTGCCATATCCCACCCTTCAAACCGAAACGCAGCCATGCAAACACAACTGCTTCACGGTAGAAATACGAATGGGATCAGAACCATCTGTTTTAAATTCAAATTGACACATATTGAATTACTGGGCAGTTAGAGAGATTAAATATTTCTATCTTTCTAAGATATTTATTTCTTAATGATCAGTTGCTATAGAATATGGCATTCAAGGCATTGAGCTCGCCAATTGTATAAATCGTCGTCATATAAAAAGATGTTGTTTTAAAAACGTTTTTCATTTGTTTTCAAAGATTTCTTTTTTATATAATTTCTCTTTAATATACAGTCAGAAGTCTTAATTTTTCCTAATTTTTTTTTTATTCTAAATTATTATCTATTTTTTTTAACGGTTATACAGGTATTATTCTCAAATAATGTGTTTTTCTGAAAAAAATGTTTTATTAACTTCTGAGCATTATTATTGACAATGTTGCTGTAGTTTTCAATAGTATTTGTTTAATTTTGTTTAATTTAGTATTGTCTAATTTTATGTTTCGTTTACTTGTATTTTATTTTGTGCAAATTCTAGTGGCTGCCAAATTACTATTTAAGTATATAATTATGTATTGTTTTAGCTGTTTGTTTGCCTTAAATAAATAAATAAAACCTAATTTTGTATTATATATAGGTATACAATCGATATACTTTGCGAGCACTTAGTTCGCTAAATACTTTTCATAGATATGTATCCATAGAAGGTCAAGCAGCTCGAATCTAGCAACTGTCAATCTAGCATTTTCGCCTTTATAAAAAAATCTATCAAACATTTTGATTCAGTTGCTGTATATGTGTGTGATTCAAGCCGCTTACGTCTCCACTGTTCTCTTTAATAATAGTTTGACACAGCTCATCCCCTCCCTGTCCTCACTATTCCACCGGAGTACGTGTCACAGTGTTGCTCGCACGCCGCCAGGTTATTGAACACACAGTCGGCCTACTGCTGCTTCCCCGCAGCGGCGGAGACATACGCGCTCGCGCTGAAGCTGCTCGGCCTGGAGCCGCAGGCGAGCGGCCAGCTGCCCGACGGACCGATCGCGGTCGGCGACACGTGCGACAAGGCCCTGCAGACAGAATGTGACGATACAGAACAGTGAGTGCCCCCTGTTGATATATATATATATATATATATAGAAATATCGCAATTATCAAGTTAATTTCAAAAATAATTAATCATTTTGCAATGTTTAAGTTTGATTGTTTAAAAAGTGCTCTGCTAGTGAACTGAAACGTGAATTTCTTGTTAAATAATTTTGTTGAAGAAATTTAAAACAAAGATGTCGTATGGTCTAAAATGATTAAACTTTAGAAAATGTATCTTTTAAAACGAAAAGGAAAGCTTTTTGTTGCATATAATTATTTTGGTGGAATTGATTGCCCTTTTATTTAACATTATACGAACATAGGCCTTTCTCTATTGGGGGGGTTTCGACAGTAGTTGCAACGTTTGGTAGGTGCGTTGGTGATGTATAAAATGGATAACGCTGTTTCGACCACTAACTGTCCATAGTCGGCAGAAGGAAGAGGTTGGTGGCGGAAAACGTTATATTATTATACGACGACTAATGCCGTGCGGCGGTGCGCGTGCGCAGGGCGGGCGTGGCGGGCGGCGGGCGCGCGGCGGCGTGTACGCGGGGCGCGTGGGGCGGCGCGGCGCTAGCGGCGCGGCTGTGCAAGGAGTTCAGCGCGCTGTTCTTCGTGCGCTGCGACTACGGCGCCGCGCACGCCTGGAGCCTGCGCGCGCTCGCGCTGCTCGACGACTGGACGCCGCCCAGGTCACCACCCTCACCACCCTCACCACCCTCACCACCCCGCTGCGCCATGCCTACACATATTAATTACCTTGTAGTTTGAATCGAAGCACTCGGCAGACTATTGTCTCTGCCTACCCTAATGAAACACTAGCGTGACAGATATGTACCAAACTGAATTATACTGTGCTCACTGAGTACAAGAGGGCTTATCTAGAAGCCCTCCTGAACTAGGGGAAAAGGATTTTTAGTAATGCGGACTACCAATACTATTGCTAGCAATATATGCTATCAGGTCGATCTTCACGTAGTTCCCCCTGGAAACCATCGTGCTGTATGTATGGTGTGTTCATCACGATTGGCCAACTGACCTGCCTCACCTATTTTTATCCTCGCCTATCATTCCTCCCTGGTGCCCCACCAGCTTATGCCGATAGTGCAGGCAGGGGTTACTATTTCATTGTCATCATTTAAAAAAAAGCCCTTTTGAAGTCTGTAAAGTGTAGTAAAGTTGAAGAGAAGAAATAGTGTGCAAGCGTGTGATGGTGTGCGCGCAGGATCACGGTGGAGGTGCTGCGCGCGTGCGGCAAGGCGTGCGTGGTGAAGCGGCGGTTCGCGGCGGCCGGGCTGCTCGTGCGCCAGGCCGTGGCGCTGGCGCGCGCGCACTTCGGCCCGCGCCACCCGCGCACCGCCGCCGCGCTGCTCGACTACGGCTTCTACCTGCTCAACGTCGACTCCATCACGCACAGCGTCGCCGTCTACGAGGTCGGTCGCCTGCCGTCCGGCTCCGAGAACAACTATACCCGCTCATGCTCACACTTGCCACCTGTCCGGCTCAAAGGACCATAGCTGCTCATGCTCATACTAACCAGCTGTCCGGCTCAAAGGACTAAAACTGCTTGTACTCACAATTGCCACCTGTCCGGCTCCAAGGACCGTATTTGCTTGTACTTACTAGACCCAAGTTGAAGTTCTCCTAATGGAATGTGGTAATCGTCACTTAACTACTACTACTACTACTCTTCAACTTGCAAAACCATGGTCACTATAGAATGACAAAATTGATAGTTCAGCTAATGGAAAATGATGACCATCATTTAAGCTGGACAATATCACGAGTAAAATATAGTGTTACTATAAAAAAAATCACACAACGATGCTGATTCTGAGGCGCCATTTCTCTAACAATTTCCCGAAATTACTATTTTATGGACCATTATAAACTACAATTATGATAATTTCATCTTAAATGTATGTATGTAGAAAATTAATTCATAATGGTCCTTACAGTAAAGATTTCGCTGTATTTTTGTTTTTATACAACTTAGAATGGCAAACAAGCTGTCGGCCCACCTGATGGAAAGTGGTAACCGTCGCCCATACACATGAGCAGTACCGTGGACATAGAGAAATGGCACCTCAGTAGCGAGCCCGATATTGTGGTGAGAGTGTTGGCGAGCATGGTGAATGTGACGAGCGTGACGAGCGTGATGCGGTGGCCGCAGGAGGCGCTGGGCACGCTGCGGCGCGTGTTCGGGCGCAGCAGCCTGCACGTGGCCACGGCGCAGGAGGACCTGGCGTACGCGCTCTACGTGCTCGAGTACTCCTCGGGGCTGTTCTACAAGGCGCGCGACCACGCCGAGCGCGCCATACGCATCATCGAGGTAAACCTTACCAGCGGTTCGTGGTACTCATCACCCAAGATATTCATACATTATATATAATAGATAGAGCATCTAGCCTCAAAAACGGCTCAACTTTTTGTCTGAAAAATGATTCGTTTTTTATCAATGTAATACTTACGCATAAAATGTATATTGACGTATTATTTAGTAAAAAAAAAGTGTGAGCGCATTATTGGGTGTGGTAAGAGGCGACTAAGGGAGGGCGAAGGATGGGCAGCAGCGTCCCTCTTAAAATATCTCTAAAAGCCTAATTGCGATTGTCAAGCCGCCTGCCAAGCGTGGCAACAACCAGCTGTATGGGAAACAACAACTCCCTTTATGGGAAAGGCTTATGTCCAGTAGTGGATAGTTAAAAACTGATCATCATATCAGATGATATAGTTTTCAATGGCATTATTTAATTTTGTGTGTTCTCTTCACTTGCGTTATACATTTGTACAAATTTTAGTGGCTGTTAAATTGTTATTTAACTGTGTAAATATGTATGTTACAGCTGTGTTTAAATAAATTAAAAAGATGCAGAAATTATAAGACAAAATAAATATAGAAGATATAAAGGAATCATTCATAACTATTTCTTTATATCACGCAAAATTGTATGAAAAAGTTGTCCCGTTTTTCTCGAAACATTTCTATGAAGACACTCTATCTATATAAGAATTTAAGATTGTGTGTATGTTACATGAAAAAACCGACTTCAATCGTAGAAAAATCGATTATTTCTATTTAAAAAGTAAACTGTTGAGCTGATTTTGATAAAACTTCTATCATATAATACCAGTCTAGTAGTATATTTCGCTTTTTCTCAGCGCGTGTGTATTCCAACATTATATATTGGTATTTATTATTTTTGCTACTGTTACCATTGATTCTTTGACACATTAATAATGGTTAGTGGATGCAGGTGGCTCAGAACCGTACCTTATGGTGGTTTATGGGGGAGGCCTATGTCCAGCAGTGGACGGATAATGGCTGAGATGATGGTAATACGTAAGAGCGTCCATAACTTTTGTTTACGGAAGTACAGCAACGTCGCAAGTATCTGTCAATTTACAAAAACGAGGGAACAATTTTCAATGTTTCTAATTATGTTTTTATAAAATACGAGTACTCTACTAGCTAACTAAAACTTTAAAATAAAAATCTTCTACTAAAAACTCTACACCTGTTTTACAATTTTTGAATTATTTAAGTATTCATTTATATTATTATATGTATTACATCTCCTATATCTAGAAATAACAATTTCATCGTGCCTCCCACCAAATTGTTTATAATTGCTCCTCTCCATCCAAAGGTTGCCTGCAAGAGATCGCTCTTAGCGATAAGGTCGCCCATTGTTTTCTCATTGTGATTATTTCTTGTAATTATTTATATTTATAATAGGTTTACTGTTGCAATCTTTTGGAGGAAACAATAAAGAGTATCTATCTATCTATCTATCTATCATTTTTCCTCTGAACTTTTCAAATCCAGGTTTTTAGTGGCATATTATTAAAAGTATTTTATAAGATTATCGTTTTAATTCTTTTTTTCTTTTTAAATAATTAATCGAACATAATTTTAATTATTCTTGTCCATCTTAAGGTTGCCTAGAAGAGATCGGTATTCAGCGATAAGACCGCCCATTGTCGCCTCTTTATCTTGCTTTTATGTAAATAAGTTTATGTAATTAATTATTTATTTTATTTGTGTACATATTGTAAATCTTTATAGTTTATATCTTTATATCATTCTTTGAAGGGAATGATAAAGAACTTTCATTCGTTCATTCATTCAATCTTCTGATTGAAAAAATTTCAAATATTTTAGGAAATTGACAGCTAAATGCGACGTTGTCACACTTCGTTGTAAGTGCTCTTAATAGTTCTACCATTTTAATGGATTTGTATGAAATTTTGTAGACAAATCGTACTTTTGCGAATTAACACACATATACTTAATATTTTTAGCACATTTTACGCAAACAAAGCCTGAGGTTACTGTTAGTATCTTGACAAATATGGCCATAATTTGAAGAGGAATTTCCTCCAAAAGATGTATGATCATTCTTCACCTATCTTAATTGATGGTTTGTGTGTTTCAGAATCTAGTACCGGCCGACCATCTGCTGCTCGCGTCCGCGAAACGTGTCAAGGCCCTAATATTAGAAGAGATCGCGTTGGACACCCCGGCCGGACAGGATATCAGTGGTAATAGCTAAGAAATGTGCCCGCCGCGCCCCCTCTCGCCGCGTTTATGATTATATAGCTAATTATAGTACTTATAGAAAAAAATAACCAAGTTTTACTGATATTATCGCATTATCGCGTAATATTCAATCGAATAATCGATTTTGGACGTGTACTACAATTGAACATCAGCAGACGTCTGTCTTATGATCGGTTATTGATTTGTTTACATTCTCAATAAGTTCTATTGGAACAAACTATACTTATTATACATTTAATATACAAACATAAACCCACTACTTTTTTTAGAACTCTAAAAAGATATAATCATATTAGTTTATAGATTTATCATTCATATATTAAACAATTTTAAAAAGATATGTTCTTCTTATTAATAAGTGAAATGGGACGTTATGTGACTATTTATTCTGTGCTTCTAAGCATTATACTGAGCTTGTTTTGGTCTGTGACAGAGCCAAGCTTACTGGAGGAGTCTGAGTCGCTGCACAAGGCGGCGCTGGCGCTGTCCATGATGGCGTTCGGGGAGAAAAACGTGCAGACCGCCAAGCACTACGGCAACCTGGGCAGGCTTTACCAGAGCATGCAGAAGTTCCAGGTCAGTACAACGTGACCATTACGGTATACATTAGTCGCCATTATTAATTTTATTGCCAGTGATAAAATTTATTTATAAAGAAATAAATACCGTCAGCGCCATCTAGATATGAATTAAATGAAGCTTGTATTATATGTACTAGACAACTCGTAGACGTTATTTTTTTTTATACAACTTAGAATGGCAAACAAGCTGACGGCCCACATGATGTAAAGAGGTAACCGTCGCTTATAGACATGAGCAGTACCATGGACATAACAGAGTACACCGTCTCGCCCATAATACCCCGCATGCGTTGCCATTCCTGATGACTCAGGTGTTATTCCTCTGTACCCAGTAAATTCACGCCATATCCCATCCTTCAAACCGAAACACAGCCATGCAAACACAACTGCTTCACTGTAGAAACACGAATGGGACAGAGGTGGCCAAGCAATCGACTTTTGTACAAAGTCTCCCTCTAGTATAATACTTGTAAGCAACAATTAATTAATGAAAAATAATTGTAATGAATTGTCGGTTGCAAGTGCAGGACGCGGAGGCGATGCACCTGAAGGCGATAGCGATCAAGGAGGAGCTGCTGGGCGCGGAGGACTACGAGGTGGGGCTGAGCGTGGGCCACCTCGCCTCGCTCTACAACTACCACATGAACATGCACCTCGCCGCCGAGAAGCTCTACCTTAGATCCATATCCATCAGTGAGTGCACGATGAGATATTCAAAAGTTCAAAATATCTTTATGCATGTCAGGTCTATTGCAGACTATTATGATATGTCAAATCTACCGTCAGTTCGGAATGGTTTCGAGATGAGAACTGACAAGAAACTCGGCTCGTGTTGTTTTCAAATAAATTTTAAATCAATCGCTATTAATATTGTAAACTAGCTGCTCCGGTGAACTTTAATTTTTTTTTTAAATGGGTGATAATGGAATGGTAACCCCGCCTGCGCTATCGGGATATACTAGCGGGGCACCAGTGAGGGATGACAGCCCATCGTGACGAATTCCACTAGAATTAACCATGACCACGGTTTCCAGAGGGAACCGCGTGGAGGTCAACCTGATATATATTGTATATTACTAGCAATGAGGCTGCCCCCACAAAAAAGTTTTTTTTTAAAGGATGATAATGTAAGGGTAATTCCGCCTACGCTAACAGTATTGCTAGCAATGGGTCAATTAGACCCCATTACTAACAATCCCTTTCCCCCCTCAGGGAAGAATTGTAGAGTACATCAGGTTAACCTCCACGTGTTTCCCCTATGCATACGTAACAGTATTGTACGCTGGGCCAATTGACCTGATTTTATCGCAATGGGTCAATGTTGTTACAAAATATGGATGTTGGTTGCAGGCCTGAAGCTGTTCGGCGAGAGGTACTCGGGGCTGGAGTACGACTACCGCGGGCTGGTGCACGTGTTCACCAAGCTGAAGCGGCACGAGAGCGCCGCGCACTACGACCGCCTGCTGCAGCACTGGCACGGTAACACATATTTCTTTATTCGAGCAATATAGCAATACTAACTTGTATGTACTTGGCATACAACTCGCTGGCCAAGCGTAGCAACTACTGGCAAACCCCCCCCTCCCCCCCCCCCCCCCCTTATGCCGCATGGTTTGAGAGAAGTGAGAGAGTATATATAATAGAATGGTAATCCTGCCTTCACTTTCTGATGGGGCACCAGAATTTAACAACAAATCAAATATGATGGTTTCCAGAGGGAACCGCGAAGAGGTCGACCTGATATATATTGTATATTACTAGCAATGAGGCTGCTGAACTCCACTACTAATAATCCCTTTCCCCCCATAAAAAAGGTTTTTTTAATGAATAATAATGTAAGGGTAACTCCGCCTACGCTAACAGTATACGCCAGCGGGGCCCTAGTGAGGGATGATAGGTGAGAATGAAAAGTCTGGTTAGCCCATTGTGATGAATACACCTGGAACTCAGAATTTTTTTAATAGGTGATAATGGAACGTTAACCCCGTCTGCACTATCGGTATACGCTGGTGGGGCACCAGTGAGGGGTGATAGGTGAGGATGAAAGCAAGTCAGTTAGCCTATCGTGACGAATTCCACTAGAATTAACCACGATGGTTTCCAGGGAGAATCGCGTGGAGGTCGACCCGATAGGGTGTATTGCTGGCAATGAGTCAGACCCCATTACTAATAATCCCTTCCCCTCACAAAACTAGATTTGTAAGGACTGTATTTTGAATATATCAATACTTTATTGTTCAGGCAGTTCGCCTATGGAACCCACTACCTACCTCTATTCGGTGCGCTCAGACTCTTACTAGCTTCAAAACCTCTGTTAAATCTTACTACCTCTCACTTTAGTACTATTTTCCTGTGTTCTCTCTTCGTTTTTCTTCGTCATTTTTTTTTCTGTTGTATGTGTGCTGTTAAGTATGTGTATGTTATGTATATATTTAATTGTGTATATATTATATATTTATGTGTATGTATGTATGTATATATGTATATATATATATATATATATATATATATATATATATATATATATATATATATATATATATATATATATATATATATATGATAATATTTATATAATAGTGCGCCACCTACCCTTTGTCTTTTTCTCAATGTCCTCTACCCAAAGGTTGTCTGGAAGAGATTGCTTAGCGATAAAGCCGCCTTTTATATCACTTCTCATTAATATTTACTGTATTTGTTATTTCTCTTTTTACTTGGTGCAATAAAATGTAAAATAAATAAATAATTAAATAAATTTACAGCGTTACGGGAGGAGTCCAAAGCGGAACAGCAGCCGGCGCTGGGCTCGGAACAGGTGATGCCGCTGGCCGAGCTGCAGGCCGCGCTGTTCGCGCACAACGACTGAGCACCGCCTCGTGCGGTCGCCACGCATGGATCACATGTACTGTCTCTCAATGAGAACTGCGTATGAATTTAAAGAGTGTAATAAAGCAGAATATGCCAGTGCGAGAGAAGGAAAACTATAATATTACATTCAATGTCTTCTTATGAAAAAGTCCAGCAGTGGGCCGTAGTTAAAGATGTGTGGAACAGCTCAAGTGGATAAAATTTACAATGCAGCGCCATCTATTGATTTCTTGAGATGATACGGTTGTTGTTTTGCGTATTAGATCAATGTAGAGTGATTATTGGTTGTATTTTATTGTCAAATTGTGATTTTTTGCTTGCGGATGTCTCATTATGTGAAAAATAGATGCAAGTGTAAGTGGTAGGTGTCAATACTAACAGGCTTTATTGGAAATTACAATATTAAATTTGTCCTAATTTAAAACGTTATATTTTAATTGACACAAAGAAATAAAAAAATTCAATATTTGGCTTTAGTGTGCAACGACGGCTAGAGACTTTTAACACGAGAGGGCGCTGTTCTCGTTCACTTTGGCTTGTGGCTTGTGGCTATTGTACTTGGGAAGTTATACACCAAAAATTTGCTGAGGGCGTTAGTTCAAAAAGGCCTACATAGTACGCCTCAAGCCACCCAGCCCGATACACAAATGTACATACTATGCGATTATTATATATATGTATGTTTACCGTAAGTACCAATAGTGAAAATAGAAGCTGATTAAAGCGCACAATGGATAAGTAAGGAGACTTGGTTATGTTTTTTTGATGGGTGAAAATGGTATGGTAACCCCGCCTGCGCTAACGGGATACGCTGGCGGAGCACCAGTGAAGGGTGATAGATGAGAATGAAAACAGGCCAGTTAGCCCATCATGATGAATTCACAAACAATGATAGTTTTCAGGGAGAACCGCGTGGAGGTCAACCTGGCTGAGTATATTGCTAGCAATGAGATTCTTAATCTCCGTTGCTAACAATCCCTTTCCCCCCTAGTAGACTTGGTTAGCCGTTTTATATTTACGTTAAACTTGATTATTTTTTTTTTTAACTGTAATATAGACCTGAGTAATGACTCGGTGCATTATTGTGCACATTTAATAGTAGATTTTTAGTACTAGTAACGATTCCTAAATACATGCGATTTTTTTTTTTTTATAATTTTTAACACTATTTATCCTTGAGGGTAGACACAGTAGCTTTACTTCCTTTGTTTACTTCTAAATTCAAATTGACGCGGTCTTTGGATTATAAGTTGGGCCGAGAGTAATTTCTTCCTGATTCTGCCATTTGTATATAGCTTAAAACATTTCAATTTGCCAAAAAATAAACGCTTTGAATAGATAATTGTATTCGAGTATAATTTTTATTAGAAGATTTAGTTTTGTTACTATGATTTAGTCAATGTAAGCCGTCATGTAGTCAAACTGGCTTTTTGTAATGTTTGGTAAACAATCTTGACATATTAAAAACAAATTTATCAATTAGTCGAGTGAAATAATTATCAAGTCAAATTAGACATTTATTTACATAAATATAAGTATTTAGTTAAATGTTTTTAAATATAGACCAGAGTACCAGAGGGAGACTTTGTACAAAAGTCGATTGCTTGGGTACCTCTGTCCTATTCGTGTTTCTACCGTGAAGCAGTTGTGTTTGCATGGCTGTGTTTCGGTTTGAAGGATGGGATATGGCGTGAATTTACAGGGTACAGAGGAATAACATCTGAGTCCTTAGGAATGGCAACGCATGGGGGGTATCATGGGCGAAACAGTATGTGTGTGTACTGTTATATCCATGGTACTGCTCATGTCTATAGGCGACGGTTACCACTTTCCATCAGGTGGGCCCTCAGCTTGTTTGCCATTCTAAGTTGTATAAAAAAAAATAGAAAATAATGTAAAGCATTATGTTTTGCTGTTATTGAGTATGCAAGTATTAAAAAAACTCTTCAGCACAATTATTAAATACTATATTAATTATTAATTTCTGTCTATCCTATTTAAGCGCTTCACTCTTGTCGGTCGAGCTCTTGCCACTCACTACGATTTTCAGCGAGTCTCTTCACCTCTTGATACGACACGACACCAACTCCTTCCTTGATCTGCGTGATGTAACTATGCTTCGGTCTCCCTCTTCCCCTCCTTTCTGAATTAAATTATTAATTTAAGAAACTTTAATATTTAATTGTTAAAATTAAGCATTACAACAATCAATGAAAAGTAAAAATTTAAGTAACAAATATACTAGAATAAAAAAAAAATTAAATTCATTTTATGTCAAGTAATAGAAAATTATAATAATAAGACACAGACACAAGTAAATTTTGACTAGTAAATCATTTAACACAAAAACTAATTTATTCCGACGATTTGTTAATTTAATTAATAATCAAGATTGTTTACTAAAAGGATGAATAATGAGTAACTGCAGTGAATTAGTGATATACTCATGACTGATTTCGCGATTTTCTGCGACAGACAAACGGATACTTGACCATGTGGGGGTCGTTCTACATGTTGTGTATATTCTAGTTCATGTGTCTAATGTTAGTTGTATTTGTAAATAAGCTGTCTCTGAGCGCCCACGGTGTGCAATGTCTGTTAAAATTATGTTCCTTTTGTACGTATATTCTGTATAAATATAAAATTTACCTACATACGATTTTTTTTTTGTTTAGGGCCTTTTCAGAGTTGCACGTATTTGTATACGTGGATCAACCCTACAACCTACGTGTCTTGTGGCTTCACCTTTATGTGTTAGTATTAAAACGTAAAATACGTATCAACCTAAAGGAAGATTTATCTGTATATTCAATTTCATTCAAATCCGTTCAGCTAATTCAGTGTCATTAAATGGCAAACTTGAACATTTTGTACTATAATTAATTTTACCCCTTGGGGATAATCCCTCGTGCAAGGTCGCATAAATATGGCTCTAAAAGGTAGAAAAATAGTTGTAAATTAATTTCGCATGCAGTGTTATCCCGCAAACGGGCTTATATATACAACACGAGCAGGTTGATCCGGCGTGCAGGACCAAATACGTGCGACTCTGAAAGCACCCTTAGCGTAAATTATTAGCTGTAATTTATACTATTGTGTTGTGTGCAATGAATAGTTCGAAATGTAAATATAAATAATGGAATTTATTTCGCCGATGTTGCCAACCGTATATTACGTCATGGCCAATGTTGTAATGAAATATATAAATTTTGAACGCATAGTGATGACTAGGCAATGCGTTTACAATCAGAAATGGGTGGAACCTTCTCGTTCTATGTCATTAGAGTGTACTTACGAGCGATATAGTGTCAAGAAAGCCTGCAATCGTATGTTTTATTTTAGACTAATTTTTACAATGTAGATTTAGTAATTTATAACTCTCTCGTGATCTCTGTTTTTTTTTTTTTTTTTAATATCAAAAGCGGCTTGTTAAATACAAATAGGCAAAGATACTGTCCCGTTTGTTATGTAAAAAGGAAATAGATGACATTTGAAAATGTCATAATAATTTTGTAATAAAAAATGTCAAATATTTTATATACATTACAAAGTTCAGTGTGACAAGGTTCCGACCCACTTCTGACAGCGACCGCTACTTTCAGAATTGTCGACTATGAGTCGTGGATTCTTTGTTTTGAAATGCTTTGTTAGCTAATTATTGATGATAGTCGTTTTGTAAAAAGTAACATATCTGTATGTACGTTTTATTGAATAATTCGAGGACATAGTTAATTATTATAATGAAAATGTAAATTATTAACGGTCGAGTGGTCGGTCGGTCACTCGCCATTATTTTCGTACACCTCACAGCTTGACTATGTGTATACAAGTATTTTTATGGGAGAACATTATATAACATGATGATTTGGCTGTTAAATGCGTAACGCGTATGAGTAAATAAGATTATAAATTATTATTTGTATTTTTCTTTATAAAGGAACCATCTAACCTAGTCTAGATTATTGTTACACATTTAAAATAAACATATTTTTCTCTTTAAAATACGACTGCCCAACCAAAAGTGAATTGTTAAAAAAGAAATAGCCATTTTATAGGTTTTATTATATTTTATACATTAAAAGTTATAGGTTTCAAAGATTTTTCCCCATACGAACCCTCAAGTTAGGAATCAGCACCCTATCTCACGGGCTTTCCAAGTGACTATAGCTTGGGGTTTTTCAAAAAAGGGGGTAAGGTGTCTTCAGAGTCGGGAACGGATAGATAATGTCCCTGCTTTTGCAGACGTTCACCGGCTACGGTAATCGCTTACTATCAGGCGGGCCGTATGCTTGTTTAACACCTCAGTTGTATAAAAAAAGCCAGTGGGACCGGTGAAGTTCCATTTCTCCAATCTTTTAATCTAATATTTCAATTTGATAATTTTGCAAAATTAGTAATTTAGACCATCATGAACTAAGATTGTAATATTTTTTGCTTAAATCTGTGATCTTTGATCCTTAAAATAAATATTTCGCTGTGATATCAAATAGAAATTTTAATATCAGAAGTAGGTCTAGAGAAATGATGCCTCGGAATCGACCCCATTGTCACTCGGGATGATTTAAATATTCTGACGATTCCCGATTTACATATGTTTTGCACATTTTTTCTACAACACAGGGGGAAACGAGCACGCAGCTCACCTGATGGTAAGTGACTACCACCGTCCATAATTGTCCACAACACCAACGGCATTGCAGGTGTGCTGCTGGCTTTTAAAAAGGAATATGCTCTTCTTGAGGATTTTGTAATGGATGTCAATGGAATAGCAGCCCCACCCGCGCTATGGGTATACACCGGCGGGGCCACACCAGTGAAGGATGATAGGTGAGGATGAAGTAGGTCAGTTAGCCCATCGTGACGAATTCAACAAGAATTGTTTACGATGGTTTCCAGGGGAAACCACGTGGACGTCGACCTAATAAGGTATATTGCTAGCAATGGGGCTGTCAAACTCCATAGCTAACAATCCCTTTCGGGGGGGGCCCCTTTTTGAAGGTTATGATGTCGTATCGGTTCGAAAATACTACTGGAAGTACATACATACAAACGTGTTCAGGCATTTAGAAGTTATAATAGACAAACTTTTGTTTCTGTACTCAGTACACGTATCTTGAAAACATTACATTTAATTCATTAAAAAATAATCGATTTTTGTAATGAATTTAGTAACGTAGGTAGGTATCTCTTGATTCAATAAAAAAAAAACCAATTATCTTATTTCAATAAATATATTAATAATTAACAATATTTTCTTTTGCTTAATATATTATTACTAAGGAATGATTTAATCGCTGTAATAAATATAAGCTTTTAACATCCAATATATTCCAATTATGCCAAAAATAAATGTTTACTTCAAATTAATATCAAGGCACAAACACTAAGGCCTTGTTATATTCAATATAATACCTGAAGCTGCTCCTTACAGAGTACTACCTTACAGAGATTCATAGAGACGAAAATTACAAATATGTAACAGCTGTCTACTAGCTGGGAATCTATTAAAAATAATAAATACTATATCTAGTATATTTCAAATAATATAGTCGATTCTCAGGCGCCATTATTCTAATTATATTTCTAAATTTAAAATTTCAATTTAATATTACAGCGAAATATTTATTTAAAGGACCGAATATGAACTAATTTATTCCCTGATACCATCAGGAGAATCCCAACTAAACCGTCTTTAAAAAAAACAGTTTATGCTCACTTTTATGCTTTATTTGAGCAGTAAGTATATAACACTATATTATATATATAGTGTTATATACTTATAACATATATATATATAAATTATTACTAGTATCGCATTCGTGTATTCTGACACTTCTCTAAGGTCGACTGGGAGCGAAAGCTTTTAGCATAAATTACATATTACGTTAGATTTAAATAAAAATTATTATAACATTATAATTTAATTATTATAAATTTATGTTAGTCCATAAAACAGTAATTTCGCAAAATTATCAAATTAAAATTTTAGATTAAGAGAGAAAAGAGAAACAGCACCTTAGAATCGATCCCAATAATTTATTAAAATACAGCGCAACAGTAAAGTATTTTGCTTCGCTTTAATGAAGCCTAAAATTCAATTATAGATTTTATAAAAAAAATCAACAATCAGCCTGAATTTGAATGTTTGGACAGGTGTCTCGTTGTTTGGTTACATTTTATCTTTTACTGGGTTACATTCAATATCGACGGTTAACCACCAATACCGCCTAACTGACATTAATAGTCGCAGAAATTACATCAGAATTACTATATTTTTTTGTTTTCTACAAGTATTTTATTTATGTATTAACATATATAACATTGTTTAAGGCGCACAAAAAGAAAGATAATATTAAAGATTTATTGGACATAAAAAAATACAATTATGCACTAAAGTAATTTAAAAGTTTAATATAAAAGTATAAATTGTAATATTATGCCTTATAAATGCCTACACAGAGTACTGAGCCTTATCGCTGAAAACAATCTCTTAACCCTTTCAGACCCAAGATTTTTTTTCTTTCAGATTAAATATATTTTCATGTTTTGGAACCAAGCCATCTTGCCGGCACGCACGAGACTACTGCACCACGTAACCGCTAAAATGATTTCTTATTGGCTGGTTTAGAATCTCACTACCATGTTATTTCAGCTTCGTGCGTAAAAATGAATTGCGCTCGAGATTAGAATTTTTTAAAGTTACAACTCACACCCGTATCGTTCAAGTCTGAAAGGGTTATAGACACCTAAATTCGCGGTTAACCGTCGATATGTTTCGTCTTAAGATTCGACTCGTATTACATATTTATAATCGAATCGAAATCGAATAACAGTGTACAATTTTTATTAGTGAGTTTGTGCAATAACACCATTACACAATGGATACAACGCAAAACTTAAACTGTATATCTAAACTTACATGAATACACACAACGACACCTGAGTCAATACGCACGACAATGAACATTACCAGCAAGAGATTATAATGAAATGAAGATTGCAGCGTGATCACAGAATTGAAGCCAATATAAACTTAGGATGACAGTTCAGATGTCCTCCGTCTCGCTCACACTTCAATAGATTAGCCAAAAGAAAGAGATGGTAAAAATAGCTACTTGGCGGTGATGACAAGATATGTTGTATCCCATATACAATCTTTCAATAATTGGCATTAATTCTGTCTTCATATTGCGTTCTCCTTACCGACGTTTAACCACCAAAACCTCCTAACTGACATTTATAATTTTGTACTTTTTTTTTATAACTTACATATCTCCTTTTTTTATAGTACATAAAAAATAATTTTCACTATATTGAGAATTTACCTTAAAAAAAACTACTTTTTGGAGTAAATTCGGAATTAAGACGGTTTCTGTGTCCTTATTCGTGTAAAGAGATACTGGCAGTTAAGCATCGATATGATTTTAATCTAGAACACGTAGAACTCTTCTGTTATCCACTTAGGCCGGTCCCAGGATAGCCACCAGGGCGCGTTTGTAGTCCCCGGAAGTCTCTCCCTGCTGCCATGTCGCCAAAAACCAACGGCATTAATTCCATGTGCCGATAGATGGCGTCGCGAGGCGGTGCGCATGCGATGGGAAGAAACGCGACATGATTAGTAATTTGTGAGACAGATTGAAAATGTGTGTTAATTGACCGTGTCAAAGAACAAAGTAACAATAACTATCGAGAAATAATATCGAAGTATTGTAATTCTAAATCCTGTGACACACATGCTTATTGCTTACTAAAAAAATGCTAAATGGTGAAACGAGATACTGGCATGTGTCGAAACTTGACTTAGTAAAATGTTTCATTTTCCTTTTGCAAGGAAATGAGGAGTCTCGCAAGATTTCTTTAGGAATTTGCATTACAGACAGACACTATGCATTTTGATAAAGAATGCGGGCATTTTTTTTTTATACAACTTAAAATGGCAAACAAGCTGACGGCCCGCCTGATGGAAAGTGGTAACCGTCGCTTATAGACATGAGCAGTGCCATGGACATAACAGAGTATACTGTTCCGCCCATGATACCTCGCCAATATACACGTACTATATGGAACAGAGAAGGATATAGGCTAATTTTTATCCGGGTCACTAAACGCTAGTCCAATATAAAGGGGGGACAAGGAATGTTAGTAATGGGGACTAATGACCCCATTGCTAGCAAGCCCTGTCAGGTCGACCTCCACGCGGTCCCCCCTGGAAACCATTATGACTAATACTTGTTGCATTCGTCACGATGGACTAACAGACCTGTCTTTTCATCCTCACCTATCATCTCTCACTGGTGCCCCGTCAGCGTACACCGATAGCGCAGGCGGGGTTACCATACCATTATCGTCCATAAAAAAAAGTCCAACATAAAATGGCATATATTTTAGTGACTAACTTTGTTCCAATATGAAATAAAGGTATGAGAATCAAATCTGTTACTCTTACCTCCTTCTCCCATTCACCGGGTGTAGCGGTACCGGAATAATTAAAACACATTACAAATATAAAAGTAACGAAGAAAGTATACTTGTAGAAAAATAAGAAAACATAATATGTATGTGACAAGAACGGCCGTTGCCAAAAACATGTCTCCGGTTAAAACTGAACTGAACCGTAAACGAATCCAAAAGGCATCCATTTCATTTTCAACAGACATCAAAGAAAGAGACTCAATATGTTTGTATTTTTTTTTATGTTTATTATTTAAAGATAAAGACATATTTATTTAACAAAGTATGTTTGTATTGTATTGAGCCTGTCCTGTAGGAAACAGGACTGGCAAACAAGCTGACCGCCCACCTGATGGAAAGTGGTAACCGTCGTCTATAGACATGAGCAGTACCGTGGACATAACAGAGTATACTGTTTCGCTATTACCTCAGAACTCTATCATTTATAACAACGAATATGGAAAACTCATTTTTTTTTTATCTAAAAGGATATATGTACTTATAAATTGGTTTCATAGAAATTTTATAAAAATCACTTCAGTAGTTTAATTTTTAAAATAACTGGTTTTGTCAAAATTGAAGACGATTTTACTGAGTTCTGTAGACAAAAATAATTTGTCACTAACGAACATCGCGGCGTCCCGGTTTCGATTCTCGGTCCAATTAAATTAGTAAATAATTTTCATAAATTGGCGTGGGTTTTTTTTTGATGGGTAAAAATGGTATGGTTACCCCGCCTGCGCTAACGGGATACGCTGGCGAAGCACCAGTGAAGGGTGATAGATGAGAATGAAAACAGGCCAGTTAGCCCATCACGATGAATTCATCAGGAATTAACCATGATAGTTTCCAGGGAGAACCGCGAGAAGGTCGACCTGGTTTGGTATATTGCTAGCAATAGGATTCTCAGTCTCCATTACCCTTCCCTTTTCCCCCACAATTGGCGTGGATTTGAGTGTTCGGAGATATGCCTTCAGATTTACGTTGTCTGGTATCTCATAATAACAGGGTGCCGAGGACGAACGAAGTCGCGGGTAAAAGCCAGTAGATATATGAAAAGGCTTCAAATACTTTCAAATAATAATTATAAATAAGTTTACATGAATAAAAATCTCTAATTATATTTCTAATAGTACTTGAGACGCATTTTTGGAAACCGCCATTAAAGCAGAAGAAACGAATATAGCTGTATGTATGTTGCCATGCACGGCACTGTATAATTTCGAAGCATTACTTTCATGCATGTAATGTGCTCTAATCATATAGGTATTGTGCTAAGAGACATTCGATTTACAAGCAGTATTCGAATATAATTTTTTTTTTAATGTAATATCGGTTTAAAATATGATTACAAATGTAAATAAGTTTGACGCTTATACACAGAACTATCTACCTATTATAATTTTTTTTTTATTTTTAAATGTGAAAGTTGGTAATGAATGTTTGTACTCAATCACGGAGATGAGTCTGGAGAGTGTAACTTGACAGTTATAGGTCACGTGACTGCGAATTGGCTTATTTTTTTCTCTATGCTTTTCATAGATTGAAGGTAAATAGATAGATACTCTTTATTGTTTCCTCCAAAAGATTACAATACAATTACCAGAAGGAGATTTTGTACAAAAGTCGATTGCTTGGGTACCTCTGTCCCATTCGTGTTTCAACCTTGAAGCAGCTGTGTTTGCATGGCTGTTTCCATTTGAAGGGTGTGATATGGCGTGAATTTACTGGGTACAGAGGAATAACACCTGAGTCCTCAGGAATGGCAACGCATGGGGGGTATCATGGGCGAAACAGTATACTCTGTTGTCTATAGTACTGCTCATGTCTATAGGCGACGATTACCACTTTCTATCAGGTGGACCATCAGCTTGTTTGCCATTCTAAGTTGCATAAAAAAAAAGATTTATAATAGTTGCTGTGATCCTGCGCTCTTAATACATCTCATTGACACTGGCTATATACTCGAATACTGCTTTAAACCACCTCGACCCGACATACCTCGATGTCGCTGTTGAGCGTTTTGTCATAGATCCTCTCGTACTCCTCCTTGATCCCGCCGAGGTCTATCTCGGCGCGGGCCACGATGATCCTCACTAGAGTCTTATCCTCGGTGCCGAGGCCCTCGATCGCCTTCCTGAGCCGCTGTGCGAACCACGCGGGCGCGTTCTCGACGCATTCGACTGCAAAAATGTACATACCCTTATTTCGCTTTCCAACGTTTTATCGTACAGCCGCTCGTACTCCGCCTTGATGAGGCCGAGGTCTAGCTCGGAGCGGCTGACCACGATGCGTATGAGGGTCCGGTCGTCGGTGCCAAGCCCCTGCATGGCGGCTCGCAGCCGGCCCGCGAACCAAGCGGCCGCGCTCTCCACGCATTCAACTGGAAATTTTATATTTCCCGGCCATTTCGTGAAGTCTGTACTGTCGTATATGTACTACAAATTTTTTTTTTTACTATTTTTTTATTTTTACTTGGTCTCCCAGTTACTGTTACACTAATACCATTTAATCTTAAGATTCATCATCATCAGCCTTTAACCGTCCACTGCTGAACATAAGCATCCCCCTAGGGGGTTTTGCCAGTAGTTGCCACGCTTGGCAGACAAATTGGCAACTGCAGTTAGGCTGTAAAGATATTTTAAAAGGATACTGCTGCCCATCCCTCGTCGTCCCTTATTCGTCTTTTACGACACCCACGGGAAAGGAAGGAAGTAGCGTTTATTTATAGGTAAAAATATTATTTTACCTATATATAAAAGCTTATATATATTATATTACTTTTTTTATCTTTTTTTTTTAATACAGGGAGCAAACGAGCTTCTCTCCTGATGGTAAGTAAACTACCGCTGCCCATGATCAGTCGCAACACCAGAACTATTGCAGGTATGCTGCCGGCTTTTTATAAAAGAATATGCTCTTTTCTTGAAGGTTACGATGTCGTATCGGTTCAGAAATACTGCTACTGGAAGTTGATTCCAAAGAGTGGTTGTGCGTGGAAGAAAATGCTTTAAGAAAACGCACGATGGAATACCGTCACTCATTCAGATGTCTAGATATCTAGATATGGGATTAGATTAGACACTCAAGGCTCCGAAAATAAAAAAAAATAATAATAAATTAACCGACCAATCGCGGACATAGCCTCCTTGAGTTCCCCGTCCAGTTCAGACTTGATGGCCTGCTCGATGGTGCGCCCCGAGATGTTCTTGTACTCCTCGAAGATCTGACGCAGCTGCGCGAAGCTCTCGTGGGCCAGGATCTGCAAATGGTCTACAGTTAATCCTTGGAGGGTAAGAGTGTTAGTAATAGTGTTTAACAGCCGCATTTCTAGCAATCAGGCCTACCTATCAGACCGACCTCAAAGCGGTTCCTTCTTACGTTGTATTTTTTCCTTCCTTTCTTGATGGATTCCTGATGAACTGACTTCACTTTATTCTCACCTATCACCTCTCACTGGTGCCCCGCTAGTATATACCGTTAGTGCAGGCGGGGTTACCATTCCATGAAAATCCATTAGTCTTCAGTTGCTATAGGGGTTTTTTTGTTTTTATTATAGCACGATACGTAATCTACTACTACATCATTCTGAACGAACACAGAGAAAATGTTTTACCGCTTGTACAACGGATTGTGCTCAGAGGAATTGTTCAATATGATGCCCACGGCCACTTTCTACCATCGTACGGCTCGCAATCGACAGGGAGTTCACCCTCATACCCTAGGGCAGTGATTCTCAACCACTGTGCCGCGGCACTTTTGTGAGCCGCCAAATTTTTCAAAAATTTAAAAATTTTGCCATAAACTATTTACGCAGTGTGTTGTAGTAAGTAAATAATTTTTATCTTTCTCTTCGTGTGCCGCCAAATTTTGAAATCGTTAAATATGTGCCGCAACAAAAAAAAGGTTGAGACTGCCCTAGGGTCTAGATAGTCGCTTACAACGCGGTTTTTGAGATGTTTTCTCCCACGAAAATTAAGGTTATGGAATAAGCTCCTTGCCAAGATTTTCCCAAGGGATTACAGCATGGGGCCTTTCAAAAGGGGGGTAAAGAGGTTTCTTCAGGGTCGGCAAAGCGCACGTAATACCCCTGGTATTGCCGGTGTTCATAGGCTACGGTAACCGCTTACCATCAAGTGGGCCGTATGCTTGTTTGCCACCTCAGTGGTATAAAAAAAAAAAGAATGTAGACCATGAATACGATTGACGGTAAAAAAGATTATTTATTCTCAACGGTTAACCGCACTATGCCCGTTCACTAAGTTAAGATTACGTCAAATTATAAAACCATTTGCCGCTTGCATTTCATCGTACCTTGTTGAAGACCTCCTCATCAGTGCCCCACTTGGCTTCACCGGCGTCGTACAGTGCCTGAGCTGCCTCCTGCGCCCGGCCCGCGTCCACGCCGGCCTCCTCGTCGCGCGCCCCCTGGTGGGCAGACTACATCAACGACGTGGTAATGGTCTTTAGGCGCCTTGGGCCGACCGACGGTTCCAGTGTAATTGTGTTTGAATGTGAGAAAACTTTAATCATTGACAGAATTATTGTTATTTTATTTTTTATTTTATTTATTTAAGGAACACCAACAGCATATTGCATTATAACATATAGCTATAACAAACATTAAATATAATACAATATATTTATTTACCAGTTGTGTTGACGTATACAATTATTTTCGGTCGCTCTCTTTCTCTCTCTGTCACACACGCCGATCGATTTAATAGGTGAGGCTTCGATCAATAACAGATACCAAATGTATTTATTTATTTAGGTACTCAACAACTTATAACAGTAGAATTATGAATTATTGAAGTTTTATATCCATTTCTCTTTAATTTTCACTAACGATTATTACCAACTACCTGTTTAAATTATGGCCACAATGTTTCCACAAACTAGGCGTGGTATTCATTACGCTCGCCAACGAAGGTGGAGTCGTCACGACACGATCGGTGTCGCGTTCCGTTATAAGTAAATTAAATGTAATAATCCCGATGAATAATGATGATAATGTAACGTATGTAATTTAAAATAATAAAAATGTAAAGATATTACCGCTACTGATTTATTTGAATTGTAATAGAAAAAGGATTGGTTTGAAATCTTAATTTGGATAATTTTCTTCTAACGAAAGAAGATAGGAAGAAAGAAATATTTTTCTTCAACTTAGATTCAAGCATTATTGAATAACTAGCGGCCCGTCCCGGCGTCGCACGGGTGGACATTTTTAACATTTCCCTTCACTGCTCTACTCCTATTGATCGTAGCGTGATGAAAAGTATACTATAACCTGCCCAGGAGTATGAAGAATAATTGTACCAAGTTTCGTTAAAATCCGTCGAGTAGGTTTTGTTTCTATAACGAACATACAGACAGACAGACAAAAAAATTACTGATTGCATTTTTGGCATCAGTATCGATCACTAATCACCCGCTGATAGTTATTTTGGAAAAATATTTCATGTACAGAATCGACCTCTCTACAGATTTATTATAAGTATAGATAGATTATATTATATATACTAGGCCTCTTACTTATAACAATCTCCAACGTTCCAAAAACCTATTGAATTTATAAGCTACATATTGGAGTGTTTTGTCTCTTACTTCTGCACTAAATTCTCAAGTTTAAAGACAATGAAAAACAATCTAAAAGAATAGGTTTTTAGAAAGTTTTAGTCGTTATGAATATGGGGGTAGGACTGTGTATGTTTGTATGTATGTACACTGGAACGCCGCTCGCCCAAGGACGTGTATTAGCGAAAGCGATAGAAAAGTTTGTGCTCCCACCCCCAACCAATTGTCTAAGACCATGTATTTCTACATACATTCTTCATACATACTATATAGTACATTAAAATAAATACACATAATGTTAACAGAGATTTAAAAGAGTAACTGTTGAGTTTCTTGCGGGCTCTTCTCAGGAGATAACAACATTTCGAACCCAGGAGTAGATTCATAAAAAACGACGATGTAAAAGAACTTTTTAGTAAGTAAACAAGTCTATTTGAATTTAACGATTCAAAGGAAAGGGGCCTATGTTAACAGCTGATATGTTGATGAGGGGGGAAAGGGATTGTTAGTAATAGAACTGATCCATTGCTAACAATATACCCTATTAGGTCGACGGTTCCCCCTGGAAACCATCGTGGTTAATTGTAGTAATTCACCACGATGGGCTGACTGACCTGCCCTTTCGTTCTCACCTATCAACTCTCACTGGTACTCCGCCAGCGTAAACTGGTAGCGCGGGTTACGCTATCGGAAATCCGGGTAGCTATCGGATTACGCTTGATTTTATACCATTCCATTATCACCCATTAAAAAAAAGATATGTTCATGATGATTACTAATATGAATTAGTTGTCTTTTGCCACAAGATATGTCCACTGCTGAACATAGGCCTCCCTCTTGGAGAGCTGTGCCAGTTGGCACACCTGGCAGGCGGGAAGACAACCGCAGTTAGGCAGGGGGAAAAGGGATTGTTAATAATGGAGACTGAGAATCCCATTGCTAGCAATATACCCAACTAGGTCGACCTTTTCGCAGTTCCCTCTGGAAACTATCATGGTTAATTCCTGATGAATTCATCATGATGGGCTAACTGGCCTGTGTTAATTTTCATCTATCACCCTTCACTGGTGCTCCGCCAGCGTATACCGTTAGTGCAAGCGGGTTACCATACCATTTTCACCCATCAAAAAAACAGCAGTTAGGCTTATTGATGTTTTAGGAGGGACGCTGCTGTCCATCCTACTACTAATAAGTTCCCTTAGTCGCCTCTTACGACACCCACGGGAAAGGAAGTAGCCCATTCTACGCCGGGACCACATGGTATAAAAGTTACACGTTAGTTCCTAAACACACGGAAAACAAAACATATCAAAAATTAAAATTGACAGCAATATATCGTGCAATTTTCGTCCATTTCAAACGTTTGCTGTTACAAGGAATCTCCCCTAAGAAAACATACACGTTGGGACAACCATATCTTTTTATGACCAACCGTGTTGGCGCCAAACGCAATTAGACAAAGTAACATAATCAAACCTTTACCGGGTTAATGTGCAGACGAAAATCAATAGCAAAGCCACTAGTTAATTAACCACATGCATGCACGTACAGTCAAGTGCAATAAATACTAATATAATGAATATAAATTTTAGATATTGAATGACTATATTAGATACAGAATCCCTTTACTCGGTAGTCGTACAAACGGGAACCCGGGATCCAACATAAGCGCCTCGAGGTACGTCGTGTGGTTTTTAGTGGGTACGAATCCCACACACCCCAGCTGCCCTCCCTTCGGCAGATGGGACGGTCTTTCCGAAGATTTTCCACACGGAAAAAAAAAAAAAAAAAAAGATACAGAATCCCTTAAACCTATTAACCTATTTTAGCTATTTGAAAAAATATAATATGTGTTTTTAGGTGTTAGTTTTATAAGACAACAGTGGCAGCAGTGACATGCAGAAACAATTATAATTTCTTAATTTTTATAATACAAGCTTTTACACGTGACATTGTCCGCGTGACCGGTTATATGTTTACTGACCGGTATAAAAAGTAGCCTATATCCTTCTCCATCCCGTATACACTAGTCACAAAAATTAAGAGATATAAAAAAAATCCAAATTTTTGGGTGATTTTCAACGAGCTGTAACTCCGAGAAAAATGACGGTACAGCAAAAAGAAAAAAGAAAATTGTAGCTCCAAGTGTCTAGTTTTCAGACATGACCATGAATATTTTTTTATCATGTTTGGGTTTGGAGTAATCCTAAGAAAACTACCAAAAAAAAAACTGTGCAATTTTTTTCTTAATTAAAAAAAGATCTACGGGCTTAAAAATCGTTTTCGTCTTATAAATCCGAGTCAATAACGAAAAATAAAATAAGTCTGCAATGGGAAGGAGATTCGCTTGTCAAGCTAATATTATCAATAGTTTTATACGACTGCCCAAAAAGCGAATGAAACACGCCGCAAACAGGGTGTGTTTCTTTATTCCAGAAGTTATGACTTCTGAATGCCTCAACACATTTGGATATACAGCCCCGTCGTTAGAAATCTATCATATTGAGTGACGCTGGCTATATTGCTTTTTTTTTTAGAAAATGTTTCGTTTTCAACAAGGAGGTCGTATTTTTAATATGTAGTATAATATATTAATTTTTAACGAATTAATTAAAATAAATCAGAATAAATTAATACTTTAATAATTACATATTATTTGAACGAGACTGTACGTACGATTAGTAAATATGTTATAGCATTAAGATAAAAATAAACATGCTCTATATTACAAACCATTCCATTTGGTAACATACGAAATCAAGCTTTACAGCATTCACATATGGTTCAAATTGAGACAATACATTCTTAAAACAACCACTGTTCTAATTTTGAAATGAGGAAATAATGCACGCATTTTAACATTTCACTTTGAATTGGAGGATAAGAGACTGACTCTCTTACTCCAAAATAAAAGGTACAAAACGCTTCTCCTCAAAAGTGGCAACACATGATCAGTACTCTAGGCGACACAGTATATACTGTGATATCCATGCGTTGCCATACCCGAGGACTAAGGTGCTATATTTCTGTACCCTATAATTTACAGGTATTTTGGGCTACCACTTTTCATTTCATAAGCTCTCATTCATTTTACATTTTCAATAGTGTAAAATCGGGCCAGTAAATTATAGAATATGAATAAATTAAGCCCGTCGAAGGCCTTTTGTGTACAACAAAAGCTACCAAGAAACTCTTACCCTCATTTTAAAATATTAAAACCAAGCGGTCTTACAACAAAAATAATTTTAAATACTGCCTAACTAATTGATAGCGTTTAACTAACTGACAGCGTTTAACTAAAACTCTGTCTATGTAATTAAACATTAAAATAGATTTACTAAAATACTGTAACTAGTGATTAGGTCACAGATTATATTAAGGATAATTAATCGAAACTTCAGTATAAATTTAAAGTAACGAATCTGCATTAAAGACTAAATTTCAGCAGCTGTCAAACTTTTTTTTTTTACTTATCGACAGAAGGAAACACATACGGTTGGCAAAATACCCTAATATCGGGGTGAACGCCACAAAAGAAAAAAAAAAACATACGGTTATAAAGTAATCAGCCAGTAATATTTTAGGTGAAACAATACAGAGTATCTCGGGGGGAAAGGGATTGTTAGTAATGGAGACAGAATCCCATTGCTAGCAATATACCCAATCAGGTCGACCTCCTCGCGGTTCTCCCTGGAAACTATCATGGTTAATTCCTGATGAATTCATCATGATGGGCTAACTGGCCTGTTTTCATTCTCATCTATCACCCTTCACTGGTGCTCCGCCAGCGTATCCCGTTAGCGCAGGCGGGGTTACCATACCATTTTAACCCATCAAAAAAAAAAAAAAATACAGAGTATCTATCTATTATGAAGTTAGTGTAATAATATTTATTTGTAATTTTATGTGTCAAAACCCAATAAATTATTATCTATAATAATTATTATAAAATTTATTACTTTCAATTGTTTTTACTTTTTAAATGACACTTTCTTTTATTAAGCAATAATAGATGTTAGACAATTTTTTGTAGGCAGACATCTAACCATGTATTTGACGCTTGTTTTCTACGAGTTAAACTTTTTTGTGGTAAGACCGAAGGTTTAAAGGTTACACTAGAGAAACTTACGGTGACGATCAGTGTGAGCAGCCTCCGGAAGTCTCCTGAGGTCTCGGAGCACATGTGCTCAGCCAGGGGACGGTTGTACACTGGCGATGACACAAGCCACAATCATTACGTCATTTTTTTTTATGCAACATACATCATAGGTAACCATACTGACGACCCACCTAATGGTAAGTTGTCGGGGGGAATGGGATTGTTAGTAATGGAGACTGAGAATCCTATTGCTAGCAATATACCCAACCAGGTCGACCTCCTCGCGGTTCTCCTTGGAAACTACCATGGTTAATTTTTGATGAATTCATCATGATGGGCTAACTGGCCTGTTTTCATTCTCATCTATCACCCTTCACGGGTGCTCCGCCAGCGTATCCCGTTAGCGCAGGCGGGGTTACCATACCATTTTTACCCATAAAAAAAATGGCAAGTTGTCTATAGGGGGGAAAGCTAGCAGTATACGCTGGTGAACCACCAGAGAGATGACAGGTGAGGATGACAGCGGATCAATTAGCGCATCGTAACAAATTCCGCAAATATTAACCACGATGGTTCCAGAGGGAACCTCGTGGAGGTCGATCTGAGACTTTCTCAGATCGACTTATGGTCGATATTGAATACCTCTATTCCAATAGTGTTATTTTTAATGGGATACAAGTCTAATGGAAAGTGGTAAACATCGTAAAAAATTTGTACAAATAAATTATTTATCTATATATCCACTCACATCGTTCATATGCCTCCACAATGGCTGCTATCTCCTTCTTGGTCCTGGTGCATAGGATCTCGATGAGTGTGTGCTCATCGGTGCCCATGCCCTCCATGCAGTGGTGCAACTCCTTGCACAAGTACTCCTCCGGGGGCAGCATGAGAGCCACGATCACATCTTCGAAGTGACCGCCCAGTTCTGACTTTAGGTCTTCGATTATATCCTGGCAAATTAATTTAAGTTACTGCTTATATGTTATTAAGTGGTAACATCAGCTATTTTGGCATTAAGAAATGTATATTTATTTTTATTACTTTGTGAATCGTTAACTGACCATTGCTGAATTTAGGCCTCTCCCATAAAAGGAGGAGTTTTGCCAATCCAAGCCTGGAAACTGTCGCGGTTGTTTTTTTGGAGAATTCGTATAGACCTGATATCCACTGACCTGCGGGTCTACCATGAAATAAAATTTCGAAATTTCGGACTCAATTTCCTGTTTTTGTTTATACTAAAATCAGACCAATGGAGTTTAACATTTCGTTCGTCGTACATCCTATCATAAAAGTCCGAAGGAACAATATTTTAACATTTTTCATATTTCCAAACGGCATGTATTATGCAATTTTAACATCAAATTTGTGTTTCGTTTGGCTCCGAAATCTCGGAAAACATTTCATGGTAGGCCCTCTGTTTTCAGTATATACTAGCAGCGCAGGCGGGATTATCATTCCACTATCAGCCAATTAAAAAACGTATTCTGTTTACCCCTTCTGAAGCGATAGATATACAATTTTTGATATACAATTCTTAAAATATACTCACACAGTATATTTAAAAAATTGTTATAATAAGTAATATTATAAATTAGTTATTTCTGTCCAATCATTAAATAACACTATAATCACCGAGGCACCTGCAAGTATCGCTTCTTTGTCAGCTTTTTAGGCAAAAAAATATAATGAATCACGCGAGCTACGCGCGGCGTCCTTCATGGTAATTTGCTGTGGGACAAAACTATGTATATACATGGCATAGACATAATTTTTCGTTCTTTTTTTCATACTAAACATATTTAGTAAAAAAAAATCTTGGTACATTTTTTTATCAATGAGGTAAACATGAGATAAATTGCTATTCTCGTAAATATTGCGACTCTGTGACAAGCTGTTGAGAGAAAAGAAGTGTCATTGAATTTTATGAGATCTTATACTAGTTAATATCACATAAACATTCAATAATATACTTATATATATATATATATATATATATATATATATATATATATATATATATATATATATATATATATATATATATATATATATATATATATATATATACTACTACTACCGTAATTATGATTGACGTTAATTAAAAAGATTTTCGTTGATTCAACATAGTGAATGTAATATGATGATCGAAAAAGGCGGGAAACGTTAAACGGCGATATTTTTTTTTCTTTTCTTATGGCACGGCACAAAGTGCATCCGCCAAAAACAAAGTTTAGGAAACAGCATTTTAGGAAAGGAGTTTTGGACGAAGAAATTTAGGATAAGGATCAGAAAAGTTGAATGATGGATAATATAAGGAAAAGGACAGATATCTAAATAGATACAATATATTTAACCTTAAAAATATATAAACGGCGATATTCTGTAGAAATTAAAATACTTGACACTGGCAGAAATGATCCTAAAAATAAAGACGGGTTGCCATTGAAGAAAAAAATAGAATAAAAACATAGTGTACTAACAAATAAATCGTTAAAATAAAGTTATATGTATTAAATGAATATGTATTATTGGTTAATTCTATTTTATTATCTTATTTTTTTTTAAATAAGTATACATATTGGAAAAAGAGACTAGCTTCACTAAATGTGCCAAGTATGAAAAAATAGACAAATAATACATGAAATTCTACATAATATTTACCATATACCGTTCTATGTTTACGGTATTTAAAAACTCAAAAAACGATATTCGCTGTGAGATATATTTGCCATTCTGTACGATAGAATTTAACACCGTTCGTGACGACTAATTCCCTATTTTAACCAAATCTTAAGTTGTCATTTATAGTAAACATCTTATTAAACTAATTCAACTAATTTTTGTTTAATCAAATTTCGTAGGAACACTCGTTAAATGAAATTAATAACACATGAAGACAATTAATAAATTATATGATTTTTTACATGTACTATTATTTGGGACATCAGCAGACTATTTTATGGTGAAGTAAAATTTATTAATTTGTCTACATTGTCACTAAATTCAGTTGGAATCGACTATAGATTGTAAAACAATGCACGCACATTTCTTTTAGTCTAAATTCATCTTTATAGTACTGTAGATTGTGATGTAGATATGACACAATGCGTCCTTGAACAATTAATTGATACGTGGAATTGGGGCTTTGTCTTTTATAATTATGAATGTACTCATATAATTATTGCATTAAGATGTTATTACTCATAGCTTTGACTTCGTTTTCCTTTGCCCGTTTGAAAGAATAAAATAATTATAAATTTATTAAAAAATTAAAAAAGCTATGACATTTGAAATGCTCAATGTTATATACATTGAAATGCCTGAACATATCTTCATATATTGTAGATAAGAACCATCACGGTCTCGTCAGCTTTCAAACAAAAAAAAAACATCGTCATCGGTCTATTTTTTTTTTTTTGATAGATGAAAATGGAAGAACCCCGTCTGCGCTAACGGGCTACGCTGGCGGAGCATCAGTGAAGAGTGATAGATGAGAATGAAAACAGGCCAGTTAGCCCATCATAATGAATTCATCAGGAATTAACCATGATAGTTTCCAGGGAGAACCGCAAGGAGGTCGACCTGGTTGGGTATATTGCTAGCAATGGGATTCTCAGTCTCCATTACTAACAATCCCTTTCCCCCAAATTTTACTGATTGCATTTTTGGCATCATCATCGATCACTAATCACCCCCTGATAGTGATTTTAGAAATATATTTCATGTACAGAATCGACCTCTCTACAGATTTATTATAAGTATAGATGATTGACGAGTCTAGTTGACATCTCAGATGATGATAAACTAATGAGGTTTATGGAATTAACATATTATGTGATTGATGAAATTTAAAAAGTAGGGTAAATGTGTCTCTGATGAAATGACAAACCTAACATCCAGACATTTCTATGAGGCTGGCTTAGTCAGCCAGGTGTACTGAAGCCTCAACAAAAATTTAAATAAATTTTTGATTAATACCATGTTTGACATTTCAGAGAATTATTATAAATATCACATCTACAATAATAAATAATTCATACCCTGCCAAATTCATGGGTGAAGGCCTGAGATATAGCCTGGCGTTGTGCATTGGAGCGCGATGTGAGGATCTGGATGATGGTCTCCTCATCAGTGCCAAAGCCTTTCATGGCCTCTCGGAGGGCGACAGCATCTTCATGAGCATTGAAGTTCTGCACACCCACCACAGTTGGTGAACGCTACAAAACATATTAAAGCAATTTTATTATACTCCTAATCCTTACTAGTATTATAAATATTAAAGTTGATTTATCTGAAAGAAAGAAAGAAAAAAAATGCGTTATACTTGTTTGTTACCTTATATATTTTGTATAGATATACTATAAGCAATCGAGAAGGATACAGGCCACTTTAAGATGTATCCAACTCAGTAAATTTATTTTGCCGAATGAGATTAAAAACCTGGTTCTGCTAAGTCGCTAAAATCTAGTAAGTACTAGTAATCTAGTAATACTTACCAGAGGGAGACTTTGTACAAAAGTCGATTGCTTGGGTACCTCCGTCCCATTCGTGTTTCAACCGTGAAGTAGTTGTGTTTGCATGGCTATGTTTCGGTTTGAAGGGTGGGATAAAGCGTGAATTTACTGGGTACAGAGGAATAACACCCGAGTCCTCAGGAATGGCATCGCATGGGGGGTATCATGGGCAAAACAGTATACTTTGTTATGTCCATGGTACTGCTCATGTCTATAGGCGACGGTTACCACTTTCCATCAGGTGGGCCGTCAGCTTGTTTGCCATTCTAAGTTGTATAAAAAAACTACTTATGTTTTTAAAACTAACACAAATCAAGCACTAGTAAAAATAAATATTCAGGTAATTTAGTAACACAAGTAAAACACAACATATACTACAGTTCAGTAAGAATACTGTGATTAATTGTAGCTTTGTAACTTTTTATTTTCTTTCTTTTATTGATATGAAGTTTTTGATAGTTATTTTATCCATTTATAGTTTTATATAAACTTTTTTTTTAAATAAGCAACAGCTGTGTTTTTTCCATTCTTCTAAGCTAAAATTGCATTCAGAACTGGGTGGTATATTTATAAAAAAAAAGTTACTATTTATAAAATGCTTATTATTAAGTTTACTTCAATAAAAATTATGAATTATTATTTTTAATTACTACAGCAATATTATTTATTACTTTTTGTTTCATTATCCTTAATGATAAATAAGGATAAGAAAATAAATAGGCTACATTATTAATTTGCCTCTATACCCTTAAATATTACTGCCATGTCCCACTTTTCTACCCATGAGTTATTTAAGTACACAAGTACTCATAAAGAGTGAATTAGAAGTGCCCCGCATGACTTTTGTACACCTCCTTTCCTCTGGAGAAGTAGATATTTCACGTTAATATTGTTATAAAAAGAGATTATAATGTAAGGCGAGGCAAAATCTTAGTAAGACTCGTCCAATATTGTTACCTAAGGTAGGCGAAGTAGTTAATCAATTTGTTTACAAGACGTGTCAAGGCCTGTCCCTCCCATCCATGGCCTATATTATGCCCTGACGTCATCTCTACCAGCCCTTTTATATTCTACCAGCATATAAAGAATATTAAATATTATTGTATTGTAAAGTAGATTACTAATAAATACTTACAGCGTGAGACATTTCGTGATCGTTGACGTAGCTGGTAGAGAAAATCCGTAAAGTAGGCCAATTAGATCACTCTTATTTTATATTTATGTTTTAAATATATTCTAAAACGAGTATAAGAAGTTCTGGAGTCACAGATAACTGTTTTTATTATTATATTCAATTTTAAAATAATTACAAACTGAATTAGAGCACACAAGTATTTCAACCGAGACCGACTAACTTACTGAGAGAGAAAAAAGAATTCACATCAATATCTGACTGAAACCGATTGAATGACTTCTACTCACATTAAAATGAACTGACAGCAGCAAGTTGTCATCCATCGAATATCGTATCGTAATGTCATAGTCTTGCCCTTGCCCCAAAGATTTAACCTTACCCTTGCCCAGGGTTGCCAAGAAGGTCAATTTTCAAGATTTTGAATTTAAAAAGTCGGTCTTGTATGTATGTCTCGCCCGCGCTTTAAATTACGTCAACTAAATGTAACGTTTTTACGTTAGGTTTTTACTTATATACGTTGCAATTTTCGAAAAATGGCTCAATAATAAATAATCCCTCACAGGTGCCCACCTGTATGGGATAATTTATTATATGATAGGCAAAGATAAAAGCCTGTCAGTTAGTCCATCCTGACGAATCCAACAAAGAATTAATCGCGATGGTTCCCAGGAACTAAAAAGACGTAGAATTGGGCTTTTGGAAAAAACCTAACTGGGCTATTTGACCCCAATATTATCAATTGTGCTCAGAGGAATTGTTCAATATAATGCCCACAGCCACTTTCTACCACCGTACGGCTCGTCATCAACAGGGAGTTCATCCTCATGTTCTACAGCCTCAATGATCGCGTACTGCGCGGTTTCAGAGATGTTTCTTCCCACGAAAATTCATGTTATGGAACCGAGGTTTTTCCAAGAGCCTACAGCATGGGGTTCTTCAAAAGAGGGGTAAAGAGGTTTCTTCAGAGTCAGCAACGCACGCGTAATACCTCTAATATTGCAGATGTTCATAGGTTACGGTAACCACTTACCATTAGGTGGGCCGTATGCTTGTTTGCCACCTCAGTGGTATAAAAAAAAATTTTTATCCCCCCCCCCCCCCCGTTACCAATTACCGCACAGTAATTATGTACTTATAGTTCTACTAAATATGTACCCTACGCATTTATTCAATAAAAAACTTGATATTTTGAAATAAGTTTATTTTAATTAATTAAATTCACAATTCAATATGTTGAAAGGTATTTTCTTAATTAAAATAACAGTAACACTGAATTATTTATTCTTATGACAACATTATGCTGAAATTATCTATTTTTTACAGTATATGTAAATAAAGTAAACATAACGAATAAGGAAGTATTGAAAATGGTGAATTAGAAACGAACATTAATAAAAACAATAGAGAATAGAAGAGAAAAATGCTGAGCCACCTTATAAGAAATGACGATTTTTTAAAGAGCATAGTAGAAGAAAAAATAGATGATAAAAAAGGATAGGGAAGATCGAGGAATAACTACATAGGATAGATAAAGGAAACGCTAGGTGTCATGTCATATAGAGAGGTCAAAGATATGGCCTGGGACAGAGTTGGCTGGCAGAAAGTGCATGAATTAATTGCACTGACAAGAGGAAACTCTTAAATGAAAAGAGAGTAAGTATCTACACACATTTCAAATTTCGAACTGCCACCAGGTACTCGGTATTGGAATTAAGTAGGTAGATATTAGGTATAATGTAACATTATTTTTTTAAAAGCGAGTCTTATAAGTGATGTCATAAATCCCAATCTTAATTCGCCAACAAAGTTTTGGCGTATTTAAAATTATTATCGAGGGGAGGAATGGTATTGTGGTCTCCCTTTAAAAAAAATTATGTACTCTTAAACATATCTTTACACATAGCTAAATAGTTCCCCTTGCATCCTGAGGTGGACACCATAGAATTCTAGAGTGGATATGGTCTTCGCAGGCCTCCTTCGATACGCCAATGGATACCGTAACAAGAACAAGTATATCTTATGATACCAATACCTGAAGCGGCCAGAAACGTAAAAATATATATATATAGATATAATGAACTATTTATACATATAAAAAATTATACCAACTAGGTATGTATATCACTGACTTGTGTAAAAAATAAACTACTTTTCGGTCTTTGACATAAATTATTGATTTAAGAAAAAATAAGCATTACAAACATTGTCATTTCATTAACGGCTAAATCAAACAACCGAACCAAATGCATCATGTATATATGCATCAGGTAGGTTCTAATCGTACGAATTTTACCATGTTGGTTTAGTGGTTTGACTGCACTGCTTCAACTTCCAGTAATTGGGGTTCGATTCCGCACAATATAAATAATATAATATATATATATATATATATATATATATATAAAATTTGTATTCTTGTATTGTATGTTTACTTGCATTAATCTGGATGTTTTCTATGTGTCATGGTTAGATATAGCAATGAAATTATTGGATACTGAGACATCGCAGTACTCAGGAATGGCATGAGGAATATCACATGTGTCACAGTATATTCTGTAATATCACTATATCGTTCATATCTATTTATGACGATTACCACATCCCACTAGGTGGGCTTGCCAACATTTGAGGATTGACTACCGATTTTATTTGTAGAAGTTCTACGGCCTTCTATGTTAGTCACCAATTTTTAACCGTCATTCAGTCTACGCACAAGTTGCACAGGTGGACGACAGGATTCACCTCTAAACGAGGCATTTTCAAAATTTTAAATTTATATTAAAAGACTGCTCAAAGGCTAGTATTAATAGTTTTTTGCAGCCTGGACGTCGAACTGTCAACACCAGCTAGCTAGTGTTGATGGCCAATATGAAAGGTCGTGGAACTTCTAAGAACAATAGTACCAACCTTCAAATATTGCCATTGGCAAGCGTACTAACGGTAACGGAATAAGCCAAACTAATTCTAATCGACTAACTAAAAAACAATTTTATTGTTTTAAAAATAAATATACTTAGATCAATAATTGTTTTAACCCATTCACCGCTAAAAATACTTATTACTAAGTACATCACAGAAAATTATACTTAAGAATGACGATTAAAATAACTTGCTTATATCTAATCAGCCTTAAGGCTATGAACACTCAAATGTATTTGCTATGACGCTACAATAGAATAAACGTGATACATATGTAACTAACACTGCTACCCTTAACTGTAAAGTGCCTACATGTATACAGAAGTATCGACGGTTAACCATCAAAACTTCCAAACTGACATTTTATTAAATAGACGTGTAGAGTTTTTTCTAACTTACATTTTTATGTTACATGGAAAAATATTTTTGACATTAACCTATGGAGTCTTAAATTTCATTATCATCATCATTATCCATCCTCTACTGAACATCGGCCTCATAGACAGCCATAAGCAACAGTCCTGTGTCACCTGTATCTACTAATATCCTGTAATGCATTCAAGGTCGTCACTCCATCTAGTGGCAAGTCCTATATCGTTCGATATTTCAATTCCAAGATCATCACTGGCAACACGCACTAGTTAAAGATCTTCGTCTTCAAATTAATATTAAGACGAATTAATTTGAAAATTCATCATATTTCGATTGTAATGAATCAAGAATTAGAACGTTTACGGCAACTGGTGTAAAATTTTGTTCGTGTTAGTTAGAAGTTGTTGGCGGTTAACCGTCAGTACGTATGTCGTACTTATCACATAAGTACAACATATCTTAAACATAAGAGACGTAGATTAGGGACCTAATACCAAGTATGCGGTGAATTGATCGTTTCACCAATTTTCTTTTCGACTTAGAATAGCATTATATCTAAATTATATATTGTTATTTGTATTGCTAATATTAGTCGGTCAATTTCGTGTGTGGCATCCGTACTTCCATATTGAATGCGCAGGCGCAGCATGGCGTCTGCGAGGCTAGGATCGTATAGCATGGAGGGCAAGGGACGAAGAGATTGTAATGGAATTAGCGGTTAGCGGTCTATTACTAGTAATCCATTGTTTTGATGGGTTTAAATGGAATTGTAACCCCGCCTGCGCTATCTGTATACGCTGGCAGGTTAATTTGACCTCCATACGGTCGCCAATGGAAACAATAATGGTTGGAAACCACCTGATGAGTTCATCACGGTGGGGCAACTGACCCGTTTTCATCATCATCATCCTATCATCTTTCACTGGTGCTCCGATAGCGCAGTCGAGTTTACCATTTCATTATCATTCATAAAAAAGACCATATCTAAAATAGGCCTCCTGTTACACCAAAGGTACGCCGCACACGAAACTGGCTAGATATAGTTATACAGCGTTGCACGATGCGTTTTTTTATTTCTCTCCAACTTTCGAATATTTTACTCCATTTTCTCCAAATTAATACGATTTCTTTCACTATTATTTAATAACAAATTTTTGGGCCATTTCCACCATGTTTTACAAAGCAACCACGACACGAAACACAAAAAAAAAGTTAACCTCTTAACATTATATCACTATTTTTAACGCTATATTCTGTGATTTACAAATGCTAATACTATTAAAAAATACCCCAATTTTTCTTATTTTTCTCTAAAATTTCTCCAACGCAAATGTGTTTACCCAAAACTGGGTAAAAAATATCCAATCAGGCAACGCTGTAGTTATATCCATTGTATTAAAGAGATCATAGTCATCGGGACCGTCATTCTACTCGTAGACTACCACTCGGTAGTTAATTTCGACGCTGTCCACGTAGAAGCCGTTCATGTAAGGACTCGGCAAGACGTCGCTTAGCTGAAAATATTAATATTGTAACCATTAAAGTCTGCACGGTTACAAATCGTAAACAGCTAGTTCATTAGACAGACATTAGACAGATCATTATCAGACATCCAGAGACGTATTTAAGAGTTAGGGTTGGGGCAAGGCGTGACAGGGCACGAACGTAATTCTTAACTATGCGGCCAGTCCCTCCCTCTCTAGAAAATAACTTTAAACCCATAAATTATACATCCCATCCCATAAAGTATCTCTGTGTCGTAATTGTGTTTTGTCTTTGTCTCCAAGCCATATCCACCACGAAAAGTTTTTATTCACATTTAGTTCAATAATCACTTTCGGAGTACTTTAGCTCTACGCTCTACACTGCAAAATTAAGTACTGAGGGGAGAAAAAGCCCCGCCCATACGGCCCAAGGTCAAGTACGAATAAAACGCCTTAACTTTAGCTGAAATAAAAAAAAACTGTTCTCTATACGGCTAAGAATGTTCACCTCACGGAGAATGAAAACCCTCACCTATAAACATGAATGGACAGTACAGGATACACTGCTACACTATGGGTATCACAGTGTATCCTGTACGTCTGCACACGTGTTGCTATTTCCTAATATGGTGTTATTAGTTTTGTTACAACCTTAATGGTATAGCGGTTTAACACATTGTCTGCCTTCCAATGGTCGCGGGTTCGATCCTCACACATCATCCTCAAACATTTGTATTCATGAATTTATTTGTATTGTTTTGGATTATTCTAGGTACAAAGTATTTGCAAAGTGTCTATCGGTTGTCTATATGTACCTGCCTATAGTATAGCTTGCTGTTCTGCTTAGTTTGGTACGAGATGGCGCTGTGCGAAGTGTCCAGGGTTTGTGTACTCTTAATGGATATACGTATAAAAAAAATGTTCGCAATTTTGTTTAAGTTATACTTTTATTTTTTATGTATTTATCTATCTTCACGACAGGTCCCTTCCTTTAGAGTGGTCTGTGGTGGTGGAGACTGAACGTAGAGTTTGTACACAGGAAATGACAGCATATACAGGGTGTAATCGAAATCGTTATCCTGTACATAAAACCAAAAATCTTATTTACATATATATTATTGGGACAAAAATTACATGATTCAAAAATTCATAAACGATAGACAATTCTGACACTCCCATACTAAACTCAACAACTAGTTGCCACCATGTTACTATTTTGGCAGTTTTTGACCCATATTTTTTCAGTACCAATATTTTATCGCTAGAAAGGACACTAACGATTTCACCCTGTATATATAAAATAATTATCTACTTATAAAAAACTGTGGAATAGCAATCTAAGGTACAAATATTAATAAAATGGTACAAATATTACACTTAATTAGGACGATGTTTGGACGAGCTAAGGACGATTGAGGGCCAGTTCTTAGTAGGGGGTGGGTAATGTATATATATATATATATATATATATATATATATATATATATATATATATATATATATATATATATATATATATATATAATTATAATATCTTATACTGGGCCAATAATATTTAGAAAGATCCAATATTTTTTGGATAACAGACTTTTAAGAACATTATTATTCGAAAACAGATATCCGACCGATATGGGCGATAACTTTTTTTCTGTCATCAATGTCAAGAGAAACCCAATATATAGATATCGGATAGGTATCCATATCACCCACGTCTAGTTCTTAGCTCGTCATAGTTGCATGCATGTTCATATTTACAAGGATGATAAATAAAATTATTTGTATGAATTTATCACAGTCTCGTTTTATTTCAAAATTAACTATATTACAAAATTCTAAGTCAGTCAATAAAAATTTTCTTATGTTATATTAATTTTCTTAATGGAATAATTACTTTACGTAACAATAAAAGCAGGGAAGCAGGGCCGGATTGAGTTTAGAATCTAATGTTACAATTATTCACAAATGTATTTTGTGATGAAATAATGAGAATTATATACGACCGGACCGGATTTATCCGGACAAAGAACTTGTAATTTTTTATTGTTCATTTTAATGGTTACATTAACAAAGCAATAAAATGAAAATCGAACAGAGAACAAAAGTCGGACATGGAACAAAAGTTTACAATTTACATTTGAATTCCTTGCCACAGACTGTATATGCTATCGAATTGAGTCAAGCGCTAGAGGGCTCTGCATCTGCTACAAAACCAAACGGTCAAAAACTTAATCTATCTTCCATATAATGCGATTTATAACAATAATTGTTAAAATATAGCTTATTTTAATTAAATGATAATTGATTTACATTAGAGACTCATTATATGACTAAAATAAATGTAAAATTATTCATTTCATACATAAATCATACATTTTTTTAAAATAATTTGTATTTATGTTATTTAAAAATATAAGCCTAACTGCGGTTGCCAACCCGCCTGCCAAGCGTAACAACTACTGGCTCAACGAAAATAATAATAATAATAATAATAATAATAATAATTTATTTCAAAAATAAATGTTACATTTTAAATATAGGTAAAACTCTGCTCCCTAAATAGGTAAATCCTGTACTTTAGGATAAGCAGTGCTCTTCCCTATATGGCACAATGACACAAAATTATACAAATAAAACAGAAAAGCGTAACAGTATACTCTGTTATGTCCATGGTACTGCTCATGTCTATAGGCGACGGTTACCACTTTCCATCAGGTGGGCCGTCAGCTTGTTTGCCATTCTAAGTTGCATAAAAAAAAAAGGTGCGTACTGCCATCAAAGATGAACATTTTTTAAATTGCATATGGAAATAAAAAAAGCCTCCCGTACTCTTTTAATGGGTGACATTTTTTTAATTGATGATAATGGAACGGTAACCCCACCTGCGTTAACGGTATACACTCGCGGGGCACCAGTGGGGGGCGATTTGTGTAAAAGAAAAGGCATGTCAGTTAGCCCATCGTGATGAATACATCCAGAACGATGGTTTCCATGGGGGACCACGTAGAGGTCGATCTTATAGGGCATATTGCTAGCAATGGGACTGATAGTCCGCATTACTAACAATCCCTTCCCCCAATGGGTGACATTGGAATGGTAACCCCGCCTGCACTATCGGTATACACTGTCGGGGTACCAGTGAGTGATAAATGAGGAAAAAAGCATGTCAGATGGCACATCGTGACATCGACATAGAGCTTTCCGTGCTTTAAGAACACGATGCGTGCGATGCGAACGTTACAGAGTTGCCAGATGCAGAATTATCATTTCCATATAATAATAAATTACCTCATATTCGGGACAATTTTAGGGTAACGGGGTAATGGTAGGGCGATAGTAATAAATATATAAAAACTATATCTTAGAATGCTTATCGTATGTATGTATATATATTTCAATATGTTACTATAATTATGTGACATATTTTTCACCACATCTGCCCTTCATACGCTTTCTGTTTTTACCTAATAGTTAGCTGGTAGAGAATGCCATATGGCAATAAGCTAAGAGAGGGGGGAAAAAGGATTGTTAGTAATGTAGACTGAGAATCCCATTGCTAGCAATATACCCAACCAGATCGACCTCCTCGCGGTTCCCTTGGAAACTATCATGGTTAATTCCTGATGAATTCATCGTGATGGGCTAACTGGCCTGATTTCATTCTCATCTATCACCCTTCACTGGTGCTCCGCCAGCGTATCCCGTTAGCGCAGGCGGGGTTACCATACCATTAAAAAATAAGCTAAGAGACAAATTCTGACTGACTCATTGCTTCGTAATAAATGCTCTATCACATTGTATGGCAACTAATACATTAACCGTTTAACGGCTTCCATTAAGTACCTATTAGTATAGTAATTCAATCTTATTACTGACTACGAATACAAGTTTGCATACTTATAAGTTTATAAGGTCTAAAACAGCCACTTTGGTAATTCACAAGTGGATACTAAAACGATACACATTTACAATCACCTAAGTAACAGTTTGTTAAATGAATAGATATATACTTCTTGTTTCGTACAAAAAATTATAGCAATAAATTTAAGAAAAACTTAAAAAATAAGTCGGCTCTTTTTAAAGTTAATGAAATTTGACATATCAACAATCAAATACAACAAGTGCAGTTTACGGATTACAATGTCAGTTAAAGTTACCTTTAAAGATAAACTACATTGTTTATTAAAAATTAAATATTTTAAAATCTTTTTAACTATTGGAGTGTTTTATTACTCTCTTTCCTATTGGGAATTTAGCGCTAAAAAAAAAAAAGGCAAAATACTTCAATAGCTAAAATAGATGATATATTTGGCATTTTTAGGAATAAAAGGGAAATAAAGTATAGCCAGTTCATAAAAACCAGTCAAGAAAAATAGTGGTGTTGCCACTATTAAAATTTAGAAAGGCATTAATATAATTATTAATCCATCTTATTAACGAGTAGACGTTTCCAAAATCATTTAATGTTTAGTTGACACCATTTAAAATATAGTATATTATATTCAAATAAAGAAACCGAATGCTTTTCAACGTTTACATTTTTTTTTTTTTAATGATTTGAAATGTGAAACCTTTAGTTGTAGTCATTTTAGGATCCTATTAGGAAACACTAAAGTGGTCATTTTAGATATACAGACGTGTCTCTCCTAGTGTACCTAGGGCAGGGCTAAATTCAGACGAGGTGAGGGGGCGACGGTTAAGACTCCGTGTGTCCCCAGCAAGGCGGTCACGCGGTCGACTTCCTGTGCTTTGTGCTCAACCCAGATGCCAGGGACTGGGGAAGAGATGACTTAGCAACAGGTGACATAAATTGAAAAATGCAAGACAGTTACAAACATAGACCTATAACATCTAGATAGAGTGTCTCTTAGAAATGCATCACAATTTTTTATTTTATTTTATTTTTATTAAATCTTATCAGTGCATTGCTAGGAGACCAAATAAAAATATTTTTTTTTTTTTTTTTTTACAAAAAACATTGTACTTTTCAGTAGTTATAACAATTTATTGATATTGTAAACTGTGACTTGTCACACAACTCGCAGTTTCACATATTATAATAATAATAACATATTTTCGGATAGCGTAAAAAAATAACGCACCAGCCAACAGCCGGATGGCTGTTTCTGGGACATTTTTACCAACGGACGCTCCATCTAGATGTATATGATCTATAAAACAACTAACATGTATGTAATATACAATATTTCTGAAGCAAATGTAACAAAATAATAGTAAATAAACAATGCAAATTGTCATCTAGCTATTTATCTATCTGTCTTTCTCTCTTTTCTCTCTAAATTTGCACTCTAATTTATGGGAACTGTATGAAGCTGTACTACGTATTAAATAATATCATGGGAAAAATAACATTCAATATGTAAAATGTGAATATTTGCATTGTTTATTACTAATATATACATAAATAAATCCAGTTAGTTAAGCCGCTGCATAATTTATTTATTTATTTATTTATTCATTAAAAATAATTATAACATTATAACAGCAAAAGCCAAATCAATTTTATACATCTAGTGTGCTAATTAAATACATTTATTATACAAAGTTATAATAAATGTATTTATTTTAAATTATTGAGGTCTTACATCGATAAAAAAAAAAAACAATATTTTCAAACCATTTCAAGATATTTTCTCAAGGTTGACTGAAATAAATCCATTTAAGGTATAAGTACGCCTGTTTTTGTTATAACCCTAATATGTATATTAAAAGTGAATGTACAAAAGCATTTATAATAATAAATAAATAAATATAATTACGACACTTTTTCTAACTTATAATTGAGGTCTATAAAATCAAAGACAGCTAAATCCAAGATCCAAATCTCTGTTTGGCGAACATAACTCTTAGCTATATTTGTTGGCATATAGCTGTATTTGATACCAATGTCAGTTTTTGAACTGAATTTGCTAAAAATTGTGCTGCATTTGTTAGTAAATTGAATACACCAAAACGTGTTTAACTAATTAAACTAGATGGCGCCACAGTTAATTCATTTTATGATTTTATGACTTTATGATGTTTAGCTGCCTTTGATTTTCTAGGCTTCAATTTAGACATATTTTTCTTTGTTCCTTTTTGTTTCGGTATCGTAAATGTGACTAAGGCATACAATTTGAAGTTTTAATAAATTCCATCTGCAGTGCTATTTATACAATCTAACTAAACTTATATTTATTTTAATTTTATATTAATTTTTTTTTTCAGGAATTCTAGTATAAAAACGGCTGTCCAAGTAAGATTTTTAGATTACAACAAAAATGTTTAAAATAGATTTAAGATTTTTTTTAAATACGCTTCTTGTCTATTTATCCCATGAGAACCAGGCGTGAAGATAGATAAAGAATAAATTGATACGCAAAAATATTTATTTTATTACGGTCAACTTATTCATACGAGTAATTTGTTTTTAATTAATGAAAAGAGTGAACGAAAACATGTTTTGATCAAAATTTTAGTGACCATGTGCAGTTGTGACTAGCCTTGAACCATCACTATCTAAGTTGCGAGTACCTAACCTGATATTATAGAATACTAACTGCGCCATTCATACACAGTCATTGCAATACTGCATTATCTATGAAAAGCAAGTCATAGTTCAGGCAATACTTGCTTAAGAAGTGTAAGTAAAATATTTCCTTTACTTAAAGACTGCCTTTACACAAATAAAAAAAAAGTAAAGAAAAAAACAATCCTAAGTTTTGTTTTATGTTGTTTACATTTTTAAATCCAGAACAAAAGGAACGATGTTTACTCGAGCCTAGTTTTGTCAGATAAGCAAAATTGCGCGCTATAAACT